GTAGTAAAAAAAACCTGCTTTATTAAAGAGCTACGGCTTTTTTTTTTTTTCCTTCAGGAATCACAAACAAACCTTTTATCAAAATACCTCTTTTGTCCGTGGAGCCGCCATCATAACCAGGTGACGGGCACTCAGACCTGGTGGTTCTCTGGACCTCTGCCTGCCTCAGATAGTCCCGCCTCTTTGCCAAGTTTTAAACTTGGGACAAATTAATTTCTGCTATATTCGAATGACAAAAACCATAAAAACTATCAATTGGTTGAAATCATGAAGCTCATTTAAGATAGATTTGGAAAAAAGTCTGCATTACTGACTCTTAGTAAACGGTTTGGTCTTCACATTATGTGCTGTGCAGGATGGGATAGAAAGTCTGAAACCAGCACTGACCTTTCTGGAGTCAGCTATGAAATAAAAATATCCTTGACATTTTAAAAGTGTTTTCAGGATTCACCTTAAAAATGTTAATGTATGTGCCACCCACCTGAAGGAATGTCTTCATAAATACTTCAGTTTCTTAACCCAACAAGATATGAGTATTTATTCAAGTGGCAAAATAACAGAAACAATTATTTCATTGTTCATTCGATGGGAATGCTAGTCATTTATTTGAATATATCAGTTTTAATCTGCTTAAAACATGATTAGCAACTTAGAAATTGTGGAAGATGCAGCAGTGACCGTCGCACTGTGTTTGATTCACGTGGCAGACCATCAGAACGTTCAGCATCCGGCGCGACTGCCGTGCGTCCTTCCTGCAGTCTAAGCTTCGAATGTTTTCACCACACTACACAGCCATCTGGACACACCAGCCGCCTTCCCGTTTGACCCCGTCCCCCAGCCAGCCGTCGGTAAACCCTAATCTACTTCCTGCTGCAGTGGATTTTCCTGTTCCGGACTTCTTACACACATAGAACCGTCCCTTAGGTGGCCTTCAATGACTGGCTTCTTCTGTTCAGCGTGATGTTTTCAAGGTTCATTCACAGTGTAGCAACTGTCAGTGCTTCACTCCTTTTCAAGGCTGAGTGATATTCCATTGTGGATACACCACATTTTGTTACCATTTATCAGTTGATAGACATTAGAGTTGTTTCTGGGTTTTGCCTATTCTGAGTAATGCTGCTGTGAACATTCAAGGTTCTCACCAAGGCAATTACACAAGGAAAAGAAAAGAAAAAGGCGCCCATATTGTAAAGGAGAGTAAAACCGCTTGTGTGTAGCATGGTCTTTATATAGAAAGTCCTAGAGAATCTTCTAAATATCTATTAGAACCAATAAGTGAGTTTAGTAAGGTTTTAAGATAGAAGATCAATATACCAAATGAATTGTGTTTCTATATACCAGCAATGAACAAAAATAGAATTAAGTAAACAATTCCATTTACAATGGCATCAAAAATACAGTCAGTAGTTCATAGTGTTAAGATGCAACAGGGGCCAGCCGAGTGGCGCGATGGTTAAGAACTGGCTTGGGACGCCAGAGGGCCCCGGTTCGGATCCCTCATATGAGGGCCAGTGACACTGCCCTCCACAGCTAAGATGCTGAACAACAGCTCGACCTGGAGCTGGGCAGCTGTGAGTCGCTGGCGATGGCGTAGGCTGCAGCCCCTGCTGCAGTGGGTTGCCATGGGCTACTGTGTGTAGCCAGCAGCCAGCATGAGCGGCCAGCAGCCGCCGTGAACAGCTGTCCAGAAGCCGGCGACTGATCTGCCTCACCCGGGAAGAGCGCAGTGATGGTGCCAACTTGGGCCAGTGAAGCAACATCCTCCACAACTAGACTGAAGAACAAAAGGACAGCAACTTGTCTGTTCCCCTTCCCCCAATTCCCCAGCGCTGTTCCCATCCCCCCAATTCCCCAATAAAAATCTTAAAAAAAAAAAAAAAAAAGATGCAACAGTATTCCCCAAACTCTGCCCAGTCCCGTTCACAGCTCCAGCTGCCTCCTTGCGGAAACGGGCGAGCTGGTTCTGCAGTTCTTATGGATTGTGAGGGACCCTTCCAGTACCTTCTTGGGAAAAGAGCCGAGCTGCAGGACTCACACGTCTTCCTTTCAAAACATACAGCAAAGCTACAGTAGTTAAGGCACCGTGTTTCTGGCCTAAGGACAGATGTGGCATCAAGGAGTGGGACCGAGGGCCCAGAAACAAATCCTACGTTGTGGGCAGTTTTGACAAGGGCGCCAAGACCTTCAGTGGGGAAGGAACAGTCTTTCCAACAAGTGGTGCTGGGAACCCCACATCCACATGCAGAACGCACCTGGACCCCCGCCTCCCACCATCACAGAGATCAGCTCAGGTGGATCGAGCACCTAAACGCAAGCGTTCAAACGGTCCTCTCTTTAAATTGCTCCGTTTTCAGAAGCTGTTGTAAGTTCATTTCCTGTTTCATTCTCCCCAGCTCAAGCACCTGAGCAGAGGCCTTGTGGGCGTCTACCTAAATACAGAGCCTTATAAACATAACCCCAGAGGAGAGAGAGAAAGCTCAAACCTGGGCTTCGGGCATCTGTTACAGTAGCTCAAACTAAACGTGGAATTGCGTCAATGCATTCAGGACTTGGGCATCTGCTTGTATGTACCTTTGATAACCATCTGGGATTTTTGCGCACCGTAGGATTACCCCAGGGCTCCCTGCCGATGGTAGCCAAAAGCAAAGTGTAATAGCACGTTGGAGTTGGGGTCTCGGGGTGGCCCGCTGAGGTGACGATGTGCATACAGCCCCCACAGCCTCTGACCACTGTCTGGAGGTGGGCTCCGAATGGAGCAGTTGTCAGGTGCGCCTCTGGCTGCGGGGAGTCTCTGTGGACCCCAGGATTTACCACATTTAGGAACGCCGAGTTTTCCGTCCTCTGTCATCTCTGGGGAAAGATGCTCCAAAGTAAATACCTGTCGTCTGACTCCAGTATGGGACACTTCCAGCCCAGACGTGAGGTCCTGACAGGAGAGCCCCGCTCACAACGTGGCCTCTGGAACCCGCGTCTTCAGCCTCTGTCCAGCCGCTCTTCACAGTGAGCCCTGAGACCAGCCACAGTGGGGTCGCCAGCAGCGCGTCAGCCTGCGGCCAGTGGACCACCGGCTTTCACCCACCAGCTACAGGGCAGGGAGGAGAAAGCAGAGTCGGGAGCAGGGAGGCCGCCCCTGGAGCCACATCCAGACAAACTGAAAGCACGACATCTCGAGACGCCTGGAAATTCTAACCCTGCCCTGTGACGGCTGTTCACTTCCGTGGGTCACTTGCGGTTGCGTTTATTTGTATGAATCACACTGCTTGCAGGTGAGTAAAATGGCACGTCTCACTGGTTCCAGCAGCTGCATGGCAGGCAGTGGCTGGGGTCACACGGGGGACCAGGCCCAAGGACCTTGCTGAAGGCGCCTTGTAGCGCCGCTCCCGCCACTGTCCTACCGCTTGTGCACCATTTCCCTTAGGGAGCACGAGGGCGTGGGAAAGAAAACGCACCCCGCCCTCCAGGGCCTCGCGTTTGATCTTCCTCACATTTGTCATTGAGTTTCTTGCAGATTTTGTTTTGCCCCGGCTGTAGGTATGCATTTGTGTGCATGTACACGTGTGCATATGAGCACACATGTGCGCACACACGCCTTCATGCACACATGCACACACACACACAGCAAGAATGATGCCCACGGGCCATTGCGGGTTTCCAGGGGACATTTCCACACATTAAATGCTATTATTTCCAGGAAAGTGGGACTTGTGACAACAGTAAGACCTCCAAAATCAACATCCTCCTCCTGTCCAGGTCAACTCGCTTACTAATGCAGGACGTCGTGTGTGCCAAGGCAAACAGCAGGGTTTTGTGGGTGTTTGTCGCCGTGTGAGAAGTCCAACCTTCACTGTAACTGACTGGCTGTGGGATGGTCCCTGCTCATGCAGACGACGCCGTCAGCGTCCGCGGACCATCCTCCTCTGCTCTGAAATGAGCAGAAAAGCCAGGAAGGCTGCCTCGCATGCGACATGTCCCATCCCAGCACCTGATGTGCACATGCACACAGTGTGTCAGCTTCTGCGTCCGCTTTCCTTCCGTGACAACGGCTCAGCAAGAGTTACATGCACAAGCGTGTGTGTGTTTCCGTAGTGAATGACATGCACGAAGTGTTCAGGTTCTCCTTGCAGAGTCATAAGTGTGCGGCACGGGGAATTCCTGTGCCACCTTTCATGAAATTCACAAGGTTTCTGAAATTCGCAGTGTCACCCGACTACCTGTCTCCATGACGTCACTTCACTGCATTTGGGTGTATGTCTTTCTGATAGGAAGCTGAAACTGTTAATCTCATAAAATTGACCTGTCATGCACCGCCCTGAAACTGCCTTCCTTACTTGCCAAGAGAGAAGTGCTAACTCGTGCCCAAGGTCACCTTCGCCTTTGGTCCCGGCTGACTGGCAGTCCCATGGAGTGACCGCTTGACCACGGCTAGCACTCCTTGTCAGTGGAGGGGCCAGCATGATGCAAGCACCTGTGGTCACAGGTCACTCAGCCAAAGAGAAAACCCCTTCCCTTTCGCCCGCCTCCGCTCGTCCCACTGATGCGAACGGATGCTAAGGGTTAAATGCATCTGGTTTTGTTCAATGGAAATACTTAATTTTTCAAAGTAGGTTCTTTAAAACTGATAGACACTAACTTGGGTCTAGTTGATGTCTTGCTCGGGCAGTTGTGTAATGTACTCGCAGAGCTAGTTACTCAGTTTTGCGGTTTGATGCCTGTCTCTTTCCAAATGGGCAAAAATTGCATTGATACCAGATAATAGATCTGACCTGAAAGGCATGTAACTGGAACCCTTCACATTATCGAAAGTTATTAGAAAGGGAACTTGACATGCTCGGCAGGAAACTTCCTGTCCTCAGTAGGAAAGTGAAGAGTGGCAGGTGACATTTCCAGAGACTGTATCCTAGGATGGAACGGCGACCGTCCTGCCCGTGGGCGAGAACCACGGAATGCGAAGCGGTGGCCTTGGTGAGCTGCCTGCCTCACTGTTGTCACTTCCTTCGTAGGGACCCTCACGCAGAATGAAATGGTATTCAAGCGGCTGCACCTGGGCACTGTGTCCTACGGGACGGACACGATGGACGAAATCCAGAGCCACGTCAGGGACTCCTGCTCACAGGTGAGCCGCCGCCGCCGCGACCCGCCCTGGGCTGCTCCCCACAGCCCGCTGCCCACGGACGGTCCCCCAGGTGCCAAACAGGCGGGGGTGCTGCAGGCCCTCGGGCACTCTGACCACATGTCAGTTCTCTTAGTGAATTGTTGGCACAACTCAGTAAACAGTACGTATTTTACAAATACAAAGGAGAATGCTGCTCGTCTGTTTCTTAACCTCTGTTTTTCTCCATAATTAATAAGACTTCCTCGTATATCCTTTTGTGTTTTCCCCTTTCCAATAAACGAAGTAGAGAGCATAGCACTAGGAGCCAGGCATGCCTGTCCCCCACTTCAGCGGTTCCCGCGGGTGCCCGTTCCATTCTCCTCCACCAACGGCTGTGGAGTGACACACACGCATCACGTTGTCTCGTCTGTACGTATTAGTCTGCATCTCCAGCAGCTAAGGACTCTTCTGACACGACCTAAACCTTGTCTTTTTCACGGGGGCCTCCCAGGAGCTGCCTGAGGCTGTAAGAACGGGAACTGTTCGCTGTCACAGGAGGACGAGGTGGTCACAGCGGGCGACTCAGATGCAGGGGCTGCAGGCTGTGATTCTGCCGTTGGTTTCCAGCTCCGCTTTGTGCAGACGGGACGAGTTACTCTCGCCCTTGGCTGCTTCCCTCGCACGCTGACAAAGCTCAGCGTGGTTGCCGGCCCCGGACTCGGGCTTCTGGAGCTGCCTCCTCTCCTGTAACATTTACCCATCTGGCATGAGATCTGTCAAATGGAAAGGTCTTACACGTGCCGTTATTTATTACACATAATGTTTACACACACACTTAATCCAAGCACTTTACTAATTCGGTATCATTTGTTTCAATACAAGTATTTTGTAACCTAAAACCTTTAGTAAAGGAAGACCTCCCTCTCCTAGTAATCTGTGTCTGGATTGAGGTGATGCCAGGTGACATCTGGTTTTAAAGAATTAGCTTATATCACCCGTGAATATGATTTTAATAGCTCCAAATAAGTGATTTTAGTAGAAAAAAACAAAAGCAGAAAAGATGAATCATTATATAAAGACAGCAGATATTTAACATTTATTCCCATCTAGGAGGATTTTAAAAGATTTTTTTACTAAAAGCCACCTGTTGGTTACCTGGTTAGACAGAACCTTTTATGTGACCTTGACTGTTTTCCTAACAGCGGTCCGCCAGGTCGTAACATGACTGTAACTCACACAGAGCTCTTGTGGCCCGATTATATTTCTCACCGGAAGCATTTGGTGATAGACGGCTTAATCTTTTACGGAATTTGGTGTGAAATTCAGTGACACAGGGACACAGCCACTGGCGAGCACGGGGTAACCCTGCAGGCGTCGGTCGGCGGGGCGGGCAGGACGCAGACGTGGGGTCTGAAGCGCTGGTTGCCGGGCGCCCCCAAGACCTTCACTGGACGAGGGCACTGCAACTGGATGGCGGAGTGGCCGGGCTGTAGCGCCTCACACACAGCCCCCCCATACCCACCCCCGTCTAAAAGCCACAGGCGTGGTTTCTAGGGACGATTGTCATGAGTGACTTAAGAAACATTTGACCATCCTGCTTGGGTCAGGGGAGTGTCCCCTCTGCATCCCCCGAGTAGGAGGTAGAAAGCCACCGCTTGGCTGGCGCAGTGAAGCCCCTGAACGCAGCTGAGTGTGACAAGGGACAGGCGGACATCAGTGCTCAGTGGCTCGTTGCTTCGAGAACGGGATTTTGAAGTGCGATATGGGGCCCTCCTCCCCACAGGCGCAGTGACCTCGTATTCAGTTATTAGGATCTGCATACCTGCACGCTGACTTCACCAGCTGGCGAGCTGGGCTCACTGCGGTGTGAGGGGCGGTTTGGACCGTTTTCTGTAGCACTATTTAAAGAAAAGTGAAAGCATTTGTGGGCATCCTATAGCGTTTTGTTCTGTTCTTTTAACTTACTGTTTTTAGAAGTAGGGAATGAACAGGAACTAAGGACTTAGCAAATTAAAGCCACAGCTTAAGTGAATCTAGTAAAAGGAAGTTGTTGCATTTTAAGTATTCTGGCGAATCTTTTGGTAAACTCGACAACTGGGAAATAGCAAAGCACTTTGCAGTGCTGGGACCAGAAAACTTATCCTACCAACAGATATTATGCAGGAGACAGAACCAACTCAAGCCGCTTTTCTTACTCCTAATCAGTTCATAAAACTAATTGTGTTATTCCAGCATCAGCCATGCTTTATCGTTAATTTTGTGGTATTCTGTTTTTTGCAGCTGCATTCTCAAGCCACCAGTTCAACCCCACCCAGAAAAGCCCAATCTTCAGCTCCCAAAGTGAGAAAGAGCGTCAGCAGTCGAGTCCACGAAGCAGTGAAGGCCATCGCGCTGTGCCACAACGTGACCCCCGTGTACGAGCCTCGGGCCGGCGGAACCGGGGACACTGAGCACGCGGAGGTGGACCAAGACTTCAGCGACGAGAACCGCACCTACCAGGCCGCCAGCCCCGACGAGGTCAGTCGGGTCTCTCCTCAGAGCACAGAGCTGTCATCTGTGGTTCCGGGAGTCCGTTTCGGGGGCTGCGGGGGGGCTTTATTCGAGTTTTAAACTCACACGTTAGCCGTAGGCCGGCAAAGCTCAGGGAAGTGCGGCCGTTCGCGTCTGTGCGTTTGGTCCTACTGTGTCCACACATCTCAGAACTCCTTACAGGAAAAAACAGTAAAGTCAGTTTTCCTGAGTTCACAAACTGACTTGTGCCCAAGTCAGATTTTAACCAGGCTGTTACAACAGTCTGCCTCGTTCAGTTTTTTCTTAATCTCCAAATGAATTATCAGGTTTGCCTATTAAACTTCCAAGTTTTTGGTTTTTTGCCAGGATTTAAATATAGTATATCTATTCCAAAAGAGAATTGAGATGTAAATAATTTTTTAAACCTATAGGAAACTGAAATGGTAAATTCTTAAATATGGTAATTAGTCATTTCTAACTTTACATCATTCTTTGATTTTTAGGTTGATAAAATCCATTTTTAAACTAATTTGCCCAGTTCCTGTACAGTCTTAGTATATTTTGCATGCAGTTTTCTCAGACATTCTTTGCGCTCAGTCTGCTCCGGGCCGTCCGGTGAAGTAGTGACACCAGCCGTGGAAGCAGTGGAAGCCGACAGCCTTCTTCACCTCCGGTGTAAAACGGGCTCATAGAAAGAAATAACGTCCCCTACCCCAAAAAACAGGACCTTCAAATGTGAAGGAAGGTCTGACCTGGTGTGTGAAAGAGGAGGCTGGTGATTCTCATTAACACATTTATTTAAATGAGAAAAGTCCTTTTGCTATAATAGCATCTCGGTCAAGAAACTAGGTGCCACCCCACCATGGGGTGACACGGTCACAAAGACAGGCGGTCACACATGCTGGCAGGGATGGGGAGACTGGATGCCCCGATGTTGCCATTAAGAACGACAGGTGATGAAGGGAGTGGCACACGGGGTGCTGCTGTGACGTGTGGCCCACTGCCTGGAGCATTCGCAACCGCACCCCTAGTTTGCAAATAGAACGCCGTGACTTCAAACGTTAGCAAAGGCGTCGTCCGAGGATGACCAGAGCTGGTGTGCGACGCAAGCCCGCGTGCCGGGGCCGGCCACCGCGCCTGCCCAGGGCAGGGTCTCGTGTCTCAGGCCAACTTCCAGAAGCAGAAAAGCCGGCTTTTCTCCCTGGATGTTGGTTGTGACATGGTCCTGCCAGGTCTCCTCCCCAGAGGCCCCTCGTGTCCTGAGTGGGACGCCTGGGGGGCAGGCATGGGCACACGGGCCGCTGGCCCTTGTCTGTCTCGCATCAGCGGGCTGGCAGTTTCGTCTTGTTTCTCCTTCTCTGTATATGTCTTTCTCTGGACACGCTCAGTTCCACCATCACTGACCGTTCGGTGGGCCTGGCGTGGTGGGTGTTCTCCAGTCTGAAAATCCAGTAAGTGGTGCCCACAGCTGGAACCACTGCATCTTGTCAACCTTTCCTTGTGACATACTTCCAGGATGTAAGACAACGCTACACATGACAAGGGAGGGCGGTGCCAAGAGAGCATGCCCCCTCTTCTGCACAGTTGGCTAAGTTTCGGAGGTGGGTGTGCTCAGATGTCCCTCCTCTAGTCGCCAAAGGGACCTGAAGTGCCTGTGACCTCGTTACGATGACGGGCGGGGAGAACCCTACACATGCCAGCAGGTCTGTGGCGTCTTTCAGAGCTCCACGCCTCCACTGCATTTTTTGAAACCCAAATTTATTTTTGAAACTTTAGTTACATAGGCATTTCCTTTTTTTTGTTTAGTTAAGAAATTATCATACTAACCAAAATAAACCGATTTGGAAACTACTGCGATATGTCATTGGTCATGTGAGAGCTGAAAGTTAGTGCAAAAATAGCCAAAAAGGTGAAAGTTGGTTTCGGGAACGTGGAAACCTGAGAACACTCCCACTCACGCGTTCTTCCCCCCGGAACGCAGCACGTGGGTACCCCGGTACCCCTTTCCCTGTCGCCGCCAAGCCCGCTGCCCTCCTGTCGTCCCTGCGGCTGCAGCACCCCGCCACGGCTGTCACATGCCCACACCCCGCGCTTCCCGCCCCTTCCAGCCACAGAGGGTCGGTCTTGAGGCCTCGCCAGGTGCAGCCTTGCGGCCTGAGGTGGCTGCACCAGCCCTCCGCCGTCGGTCCCACTGGCCACGCGTGTGAGGCAGGCCAGCCAGCCTGGGGACTGTGCTCACGAGGCCACCGCAGGCTCAGGAACCCACAGAGGCCCCATCTCACGCCCCTCCGCTTAGTACCACGAGCCCCGTCATCAGTGATGCCCAGCGTGACCCATCCGAGCGGGTCCCACAGAGCCCGATCCCTGCCTGCAGCCCCTGCCCAGCTCTGTCAATGGGAACACGTTTCGATACACAAGCACCTGACCGCGCACGTCGGGATTGGGCACACCTCCTACAGCTCGGGGAAACGGCACTGCTCCCTATTTGAAATTTGCATAGTAACCTCACGACTTCAATAATCAGTTTTATTCGACCACAAGAGTGAGAAAAGCTGAAGGAAAGGGAGCTCTCGAAGCCTGCTCCCCTTCGCCTGCCGCCGTCTCCCAGCCCTCCTGCATGTCCCCTTGGCGCTGTGGGCCACGGCCCTGGGTCACTGTGGGAGCGTCACATTCCTGCTCTCCATTCTGTCAAGGTCGCATGTGACACTCGTCTCACTCGTAGGTGCTTGTCTGCCTCAGCTGGCCAGTGGACCTCAGGCGAGAGCGGGGAGGGGACCGAAGCTGTGCCTCAGGAGGGTGCGCCTCGACCCCACGTCCCTGAGGCTCGGGCGGGAGCTGGATACTGTCACCGAGCCAGGCTCTGTGACAGGTGTGTTTGCCTTTCGGGGATGTCTTGAAATGGCGATGCAACACTTTTATGCTTGTGATGCCACTCGGGAGCTGTGAAAACTGGAGGAGCTGCTGTGCTGTCGGGTGTGGAGGTGCCCAGAGCAGAGCAGTCATCGTGCGGGGGTCAGGCAGGTGTGCGGCCCAGCTCGGCACCGCTCCCAGCATGCACTCGCCAGGCCTCAAGCCCGCGCCTCGCATGAGCCCCACGGTTACATGCACAGGCTCTGTGGGGCGGTAACCGGGGAGCTCTCTCATGGCCATACGCACTGTGCCTTGCAGCCATGTACATGTGCATGTGTGTATCATTTGTTTGTATTGGTCATAGCAAACCCAGGAGAAAATGCAGAGTTCAGCCAGCACACGCACGTGTGGGATCGAACGCCAGTCAGATGAATAGTTCCGGTTTATAAGATCTGTGAGCCGCCGTCGGAGCTTTCCAGCACAGGCGTTAAGACAAATAGAGGCGACTGGTCACTGCCCTTTGAAAGGAAATGGGCCACATTCTTTTTCTTACAAAGAAAGAGTTGAACACACTTTTTTATGATAGAGCGTTCTAGAAATTCTCAGATTTTTCATATTATTGTCTCCCAATCCTGAGCTTGGGAAACAGACCACAGGTATGTCACAAGGAAAATTTTATTTGAAGTTTTAAAAATACTTTATTCCATATTTACCTTATTACTTGCCAAAAACAAATACAAATTTTGTTGAAAATACATGGGATTTACCTTTAGGTTTTTGTATGTCATAACACTTTTTAAGTCTTAAATTAGGAATTCACAATAGGCCAGGATTTCCTTGATTCAAAGATTACTAGAGCTAGATAGAAACTGCTAATCTTATATTTAAATTTGTACTTGTTTATAATTCCTTCCTACTTTGGAAATTGGACAGTGATTAAAAGTAGCAGAACATAGGGCCAGCCGAGTGGCTCAGTTGGTTAAGAGCTCGCTCAAGAGTTTGAGCTCTGAGCAACAGCGGTTCGAGTCCAGCCCGAGCTGAGCAGCCGCTGAGCTGCCAACAGGTAGCAGGATGGCTCAGCTAAAAAAAAAAAAAAAAGTAGCAGAACATTAAATAACCTTTAGGAAATTCCTAACACACATTTGAGACTGAAAATTAAAATCATAATTTTTAAAGAGCTGTATTGATGCAGCGTTTGCAGAGCCCGGAAGCCCAGGGAGAATCGTGTCAGTGGCTCTCTGTTTAGCCCATTGAACATGGCTACATCGGGCTGGCGAGTGATGGCACTGTATCCCGGTGACCAATACTCCGTTTTAAAAGGATTTTTATGGAATAAGTGCTGATGACTTTGCATCCTGGAGCTTGACTCAGGGAAGTGGTCCCACTGATGTTTCCTGTTTGACCTCAGGTTTGACCTGTCACAACATGTCTGGTTAATAAGCAGCGTTATCATCTGGGACACTTCACTGGAGTCTCACTCCGTGTCAGCACGGAGCCCATGGAACCCGCTGATGTGTGGCTGTTGCGTTACATCAGTCTTTAGAGAGTCGAGCCCACGTATGCCCTGGTCGTTGATTCTTATGATAAGTGATCAGCAGTTCCTTTCTGTAAGGGCGGGAAGTCCTGCTCACCTGTCGCTGTGTCTCTATAGCCTCACATAGCGGACTGCAGCTTAGCAGACACTCACGCTCCCTGGAAATTCCTGGGCACAGCTCAAATCCAGCCCTCTTCAGACGTGTGTCCGGTGGGTGTGGGACGTTGACACTGAGCTGATGTTGCAGACAGTCCTCCTAGTGGGTGTGAACTGCGTGGGCAGAGCTGCAGAGGGCCAAGGTCGTAGCGCCAGTGATAAAGGCACAGGGTAACTTGAACCCCGGAGCCCTCCGACCTCTTCTGGTCCAGGAGGACTTGGCTGGCCATGAGTCCCTGTGACTTCCACTCACGTAGGGAAGCTTCACCTTTAAATAGCATCTCCAGGGGTAGATGTCATCTCCTGTGCAAGAATCGGCCGAAATCAATGACACACAAGCAGAGTATTTGGACCTAGAAGAACGCGGTCCTTGGTGGCCATGCTCCTGGATTGCGGAAGCAAGCTCTGATGCACGCCATGCTGTTCCGTCAGCTGGTGCGGCGGGCAGAGCCCTGTCGGTGACGCCAGCTCTCCCCTGTGACAGAGAGCGGACGGGGCAGCCTGCCATGCCTATTGATGGGCAGCCTGCCATGCCTATTGATGGGCAGCTTTTCCAGGCGATCAGATTGCATTGTATGTTCATAATTCCATTAAATTATAACAATGAATGTAATACTGCAATTGAAAATGAAGACATCAATGATCAATTCTCATTGATAAAGTGCGTGGTAAAGATGTGCCCTGGAGTGTAGCTGGCGGCTGTGTGTATGTAATTGCCAGTGTGACAAAGGACATTTCTCCCAAGCTTTTACGGAATGATAGCACAGAAATTTCCGAATGCTGGAATTGTAGACAAAACTTAGTAATAAAACCTTGCTCCATATTATGTTTCCTCTCATAACATGACTGGGAACCACTTTCCACACTGGTTACTTAGCGTGGAGAAGCGTGAATGTGTAAGTAAATTGCCTACGACAAGGATTACCAGACAGTTTTATACGTCAGTTGCTTTGGGCCACAGATAAATCCCATACGATAAAAGCTTTTCTGGAACAACGAAAAACATTCAGAGCCTTCTCAATCATTATATGAAACCAACTTAATCCTAAATTCAAAATCTGACCAAGAACACCAATATACACACAATAAAAAGGAAATGTACAGATGAATCTTAAGAGCAGAGAAAAAGAAACCCTAAAACATGACGCCACCAGATCAGACTTGGAGTATATCGAAAAACCACGACCACGCAGCATTTATCCTAGGAACAGAAGAACAGTTCAGTGTTAGCAAATATATATCAATATGTCTTTAGCCTATAAGTTGGAACTCACATGGTAACCTTATTTCCGTTAGAGACTTTTAAAGGGCATTTAAGTTAAAATTCAGTACCTATTCCTGATCAAAAACTAGCTCCTCAAAATCCAATAATGGTAAGTTCAAAATAGGAAAGCACTTTATTAACACGATTCGTGACCCTGGGCTTACATCGCTGTTCACCATTGTGCCCAATACGCCCTACGGCCATTCCTTCGTGAGCGTCTCGCCCAGTCACTAACCCGGCAGCACAGCAGCGGGGACGCCAACATGTCACTACTGCTGCGACAGACCACCCAGAGCCAGGGTGGCCAGCGTCATCTTAGCCCCGCCTGGTGTGGGCCGGGGGTCTGGCAGGGTTCCCCAGCCCTGGAGTCACCTGCACTCACGTGTCCCATACTGTCACTCCTCAGGGACTGGCAGTGTCACGGGACAGTACGTAAAGGAGGCAGCTGTGCAGACGCCACCTGTGGGCAGGACAGTCGGCCATAGTCAGCGTGGGCCTCCGCCACGTGGCTGTCACGCTGTCTGCTGTTGGTCAGCCTGCGCTCTTGTACCGGAACCCCCAAATGGGTGAACTCTGCAGCCCCTTAGTCGTGGCTGTTGCGGGAAGAGCTCCCTTTCTCTTCAGTTCTGTGTGTGGCTTGCCTCCCGGTCACCCCAATTCAGTCCCTGGGATCCTTTCTAGACTGTCTTTAATTATTTTTAAAAAGCAATGAAAAATCCCAAATCCCGTTAAAAGGTTAGTTTCCTTTACTCTTTGCCCAAGACAGTGCCAAGTCACACGTGGGTGTCACCCACTCAGCTTTTCCTTCTCTGCGGGGCGGGCGGGGGCTTCTCGGTTCTGAGCTGGCCTTGGGGGGGCTCCAACTGGAGAGCCTGCTGCACTGGACAGACACATGTCCTGGGGCTCGCTTCAGACGCCAGCTGCATGTTTGGGGCCCTCGGCACTCTGCTCAGGCTGTACTCTTGGCTGTGACCCCAAAGGGTCAGATTAAACTCAACCAGAGGAGAGCTGCCCAGGCCAGGGGCCCAGAGAGACCTGGCATGAGCTGCCCACCACCCTCCTCCCGGGGGTTGTCCGCACAGCGCTTACCTCTGCCAGCAACGGCGTGACAACTTCTGTGACAGTGTGCACAGCGGACTCTCCACCCAGGAAGGCCCCCTTCCCCGAGCCCTGGTGCTCAGGGTTTTTATTGGGGTGGACATGGTTGGCACCCCACGTGGCTGACCCGCATCTCCAGCCCTTGCAGGCACTGCGAGCCCCAACGCCCCTCCCTAAATCACATAGTTTGTGTGGACAGTCAGTGTGGCCCCACATTCCCACGGCTCGGAGGTCACCTCCCCGAGGAGAGAGCAAAGCCAGTCAGGCAGCCGCCCCCATGGAGGGCAGTGTCTCGACCTCGCGTTCCTCCCGTGGGCAGAGGCGAGGAGTCATAGCACGCTGTCCTGACTCTGACCCCATGAAGGCATCTTCTGTGGGCAGGCGTACAGTGGCCTCTAACAAAACATGAAAATCACAAGCAAAGAATTTCTAGATTTGACAAACATTAAATGTGTGGCTATCTCTGATTTATCTTCTGGAACAGGAGCATAGAGCTGTTAGAAAGGTCACAATATCCACAGCAGCAGAAGTTGGGTCATTTCATTTGTTTCCACAAGAAGGGAGAAGCCCGGGTTTGTGTGGGCAGTGGGAGCGTTAGGGTGGTGCCGGTGACAGGCCGGGTGGGTCCTCAAACAGCGTTCTCCCACGTGGGGCAGAGCTACAGCTCTGCGGTGTGGTCTGGCCAGCCCAAGTGCAGCAGAAATGCAGGCTTTCGGTTTATTCTTGTGTCACGTGTGTCTGTCTTTAAATTCAGTGTTCCAGCCTGAGCACATTTTCGAATTTGACCAGGGGTTCTAGGCGCCAAGCAGGTATCACCTGTTCCCAGGACACCTCTTGTCTTTCAGTCCACACAGACTCAGAGGGCCAAGGTTAAAGCAGAAAGGCTCAAGGTGAGACCTTTCCCACAGTGTGATTCTTCCCGCACTGACCACTGGGCTGTGCTGAGACTGGAACCCGGTTCCCCCACTTCCCCTCTGTGCGGGCTGACCAGTGAGCGTGGACCCCCAGGCAGACGTCAGAGTGTAGCTCCTGGCCACAGGACAGCAGCCCTGATCAGCTAAATCTTACTAGTTGGCCGTCTAATATGTAACGCTTTGCTGTCCTAAATTTAAAAATCAGCTAACTGTGATTTTATTAATTTAAATGAGATTCGTATTTTTAAGTGGCAAGTTGGGACTGGGAGAAACGTGCGCACTGCACAGCGCTATTCCTACCTCAGGAAGCAGACTTCCTAAACTGTCCAGTGACGGGTGGCCGGGTAGACGTGGGCAGCGAGGCTGTCCAGGAGACTGGCCGCCGGGGCCACAGGGAAGGAAGGCAGTGGGTGAAGGGCGGCCAGCCGGCCGGGACGCTGCGGCACCGGGACCCAGGAGGACCAGCCCCAGGGCTCCCAGGCGTGTCATGCACGACGGGTCAGCTTGGCTCTGTGTCCAGAACGGGACCAGCTATGCCCTGTCCTGAACCAGAGAAAGTGGCACCTCAGTCTTTTCTGTTTCTGGGGTTCAGATGGCCCGGGCTGAGGTGGGTGTTTGAGGGCCCCACCCCTCACGCCTTTTTCAGAGGAATGCGTTTCAGACTTTGTAACTGAAGTCACCGAAAGAACAGGATCCTTCTAATAATTTCACTCTCAGTCCTGCTCTTCTGAAATTATTCTGTTCCATTTGTCTTAGTCTGACTCTGCTATGTAAGCTTTGTAAAAGATCAAAAATTTATTTTTAAAAGGTGAATTATGATGTTTGACTATGTTTAAAATAAAATAGAATTGCAAGTGAGAACCGTGTAGACAGCTGTGAGTCTCTACCATCCTCGAGCAGTTGTCCTGCCTGTGTGTGGACTTGGGTGCGGCATCCCAAAGAGCGTTGGGGACGGTCACCCGCGTGCAAGAGAGCGCAGCCCTCCCTGGTTTGTGTCCTGCAAGCTTTCAGTTTTACATGTGGGCACACTGACTGCAGTTGCTGCGTCACCAGTTGATCTCTGGTCTGAGAAAGAGCAGGTGAGCAGGACAGACGCAGGCGGCTCCCTTGCAAGCCCTGCATATAGAACACGCCCCGGAAAGCGAGTGCCGCAGCCCCGCTCCTCGGTCCTGCGCCGCAGCCTGAGCCCGTGGACCTGGACAGCCCTGCCCTGGGCAGCTAAGAAACAAAGTGGGGTCAGTCACGGTCCTTGTCATAGACAGTGAGGCCGAGGGACTCGCCACATGGCTTGTTTACCTGCAGAGGCGTTATTCTAAAGCAAACACTGACACCCCACAAAAGCAAAACGTTCTCGGCGCAGTGAGTTGTGCAGTTGGCGCCTCGGCGAGCTTTCTGGCCGCCAGCCTCTGGCTTCCCTTCCTGGGAGCGTGTGGCCTCACATCTCACTGTCTTTTCCAGGTGGCCCTCGTGCAGTGGACGGAGAGCGTCGGCCTGACCCTGGTCAGCAGAGACCTCACCTCCATGCAGCTGAGGACCCCCGGCGGCCAGATCCTGACCTACAGCGTCCTGCAGACGTTCCCCTTCACGTCGGAGAGCAAGCGCATGGGCGTCATCGTCAGGGTACCGGCCTGTCCCCACGGGCTTCCCTCAGGGTCCCTGTCGCACTGGCTGCTGGGACGTTGCCCTCAGTCCTCATTCACATGCTTCAGGCTTGTTACACTGGGTTTGTCTAAAGCCTCAATGGAAAGCTTAACAGCCAGAGCTGGTGTGGCTCTGCTAAGACGGCCGAGGCAGAATTAAAAGGCTGCTATTAGTTTTTGTTTTGTATTCACCAGCAGTTTAACTCCAGAATGATCTGTGACCCTAAGGTTGCTAAAATACATCGTTAAATTTTTTAGTAAATACCAAAACTCTGTCTTGAAGTTGGCCAAACAAGGAAGGTTATTCGATGAAACTGTGAAACCCTGAGCGAGTTGATGCCAACCTTGCAGTTGGCAGGCATCTAACAGATTTCCTTTCTGCTCAGCCCATCGAGACCTGCAGCTCTGTCCTCAGGTCCTGACGGCCTGAGCTCCTGGGGGGCAGACCTGCAGAGAAAATGCTTGAGCTGCTCACAAGGGAGCTGCTCCGTTCCGTGTGTGGAGCCGTGTGGCCTGAACGCACCTGTTTGTCCTCATTCATTCCAGGACGAGTCCACGGCAGAAATCACGTTCTACATGAAAGGCGCCGATGTAGCCATGTCCGCCATCGTCCAGTACAACGACTGGCTGGAGGAGGAGGTAACGGCCACCTCTGCCTCATGCAGACGTTTAGACGGGGCCCAGTGCGCGGGCACAAAGCAGCACCCTCGCCCAGCCACTTTCCCCAGCGGGTACCCCTGGAAGAAACTGGGGTGCCACGTGTCAAGCCGACACCGAGATGGATCATTTTAAATGATGCCGTTTCTTCTCAATTTCGTAAGGCAGAAAGGATAGGAGTGCTGTTACAAATGGTTTACTTTCTGCATGAACAACTATTTTTAGTTTTTGTGAATGCATGTAGATATATACAAGTAAGTCCTTATGAAGGGTATTTTGTTTATATTGGTGAATAAATAGAAAGCATTACTAATCAGTCATTAAAAAATTCAGTAATGCATATATAGCCAAAGTTATATTTTAATGATACTCATTTTGTAACCTAAATTATTTGCAAGAAGATTTCAATTCGAATTTTAATCTAACTCTAATTTGCACATAGGACTCACTTTAAAAATAGAAAGATGCAAACATAACCAATGCTCAATTTCATCAAATTCCCTGTAAACAAACATGATTTGCGTTTATCCACGTGAGGTTATATTGTTGGTTACATTTACGTATTAGTAAGATGCTGGATTTCAAAGTAAAAGCAAAGCCGGGCCATTAGCAAGCGGCCTTCTCAGCGTGCACCGCCACTGCCACGTCCTGATGCCCCTCGCTCCTCACCCGCTCGCTCTGTCACTGCGGCCACACCCCCGTGCATGATGGTATTGGCAATACGAATCAATAGCCCTCAGGCTCTGAGATTTAATCAGGGACATGAATAAATCAAGCTCCCTGAAGACCTAGCAAAATGCCATAAAAATTACTTTGGGTCATAATGATGTGCAATTAATTATAAAATACTTGTTTAATTTATTTAGCTTTATGAGGCCAAATCGATAACTGTCTTGCAACAGACAGAGAGTGTCAGATTGTGTCTCACAAAGATAACTTTATGAAAGAGCCTTTGTCCATTTCTTTCCTCAACCTGCAGTTTCTCCCCTTAGACGAATCCTTGACCCCCGCCTAGGTCCTTGCCGAGGTCCCGGGCTCCTCAGGCCACTGTCTCAGCAAGCTCCCCAGGTGGGGCTCTTGGCTACAGACTTGTGTTCTTCAAATATTAACAAAAACAAGAACCAAAAACACCAGCACATTTCAGTCATTATAACATGGACAGGCCAGTCTTACGAAACGTGCAGTGAACATCTGAGCACAGACTTCCAGCGAGCGTGGCCTGCACAGACGGGGTGGGGGGCGCCTGGCTCCCTCCCTCTGACTGTTACTATAAATGAAACAAAGGCATAGAATGGGGGAGCACGGGAGGTGTGACAGGCCACTGTGATTATCGTGCCGCCATCCAGAGCGTGCTGAGGTGGGGCGCCCAAGCTGGGACCCCCCCATCACCCCTTCCTGCCATGTCGACAGCCTGTGTGTGTAACAGCACCAGAGCTAGTCACCTGGCCGAGTTCAAAAGGAGTTTCAGAAAAGCGGCATGGTTGGTGCTGTGGGCGTGCCTGCAGGGTTTAACGTCCTGTCACCAGGTATAGTGACTGAGTCGCCCACGGAGAGCAGGTGATGTTCCCTGGAAACACTCGCCTTTCCCTGAAGACACGATGGAGGTGGCAGGGGCTCTGCACGTGGCCAGCGGGCCAGGGGGAGCTTGGCACTTGTGTCTGCAAGCCTTTTATTATCAGCAAGCCTACGTGCTTGTCCCTGGGCGATGCGGGATTTCCACTCATGTCTCTAGTCCTGCTGCACAAAAGGTCAGACACTCAAAGTCACAGGCTGTGACTGCCCGTCGCATTGTTGGAATTGCCCCACATAGAGCTGGCCCCGGGCTTCAGTGCACACGTGCAGGACGTCACAGGTGGGGCTGTGGGACGCCACTCTCCCTTCCCACCACAGACGCTGCCGGTCATAACTGTGCATTCCCGAGTTTACTGTCTTCTTTTCATTAAAAAAGTAGCTGATGCGTGTGTTTACAGTGCATGTGCTTAAGTGCACGATCACATGAGCAGCTCCGTTTTAAGTGTACACTGGAGACGCTGTCTGTGATTGGTTGTTCGCTAGCTGTGAGTTAGAATCCGTACCCTTGGCATTTGCTAGAAATACCTGCAGAAGGCCCTCTCCTGTCCCCATGTCACGGCGGCAGCACCTGCTCTGCGCCTGGCACCGCCTCTGCTGGGCCCCTGCCCAGAGTCCATCCTACGGCCGGAGACCCAGGCAGGGGCGCCGGCGGGGCCGTGATCACCATGTCTGTTAACCACAGTGCCCCAGACAGGCTAAACTGCTGGAGTCTGGAGCTTTCTAAACATTGCCAAGATTGGAAACAGCTCCTCCACGTGTGGAATTTGAGAGGGAGTCGGCAGGGGGGGGCTGCGTAGGCCGTGGTGGCTCAGCTGACAGTGGCCTTGGCTACTCTGTCGTTCCTGATGGGAGACAGAGAGCTTTAAACAAGATGGCTCCTCACGTTGCAGCTTCAGCTTTATTTCCGTTAGCACACGTTACTCTGACGTACTCCACTCCCCCCCACTGCCACGTGACACCCTCACTTCTTACCCCCACTGCCACGTGACACCCTCACCTCCACTCCCCCCCACTGCCACGTGACACCCTCACCTCCACTCCCCCCCACTGCCAGGTGACACCCCCACTTCTGACCCCCCACTGCCAGGTGACACCCTCACTTCTGACCCCCCAGCATCAAGCATCTCACCATCCTGTGTGACACCATGCAGCCTGGTGTCAACACTGAGCACAGTGTAGCTCACAAGGCTGACTTGGGGTGGAAAAGATTGAGCTTGTCGCCTGCAGAGCTGCACGACGACACAACTCCGTCACGTGCCTATGCTTGTCGCCCTCAGAGGTCAGGAAGAGCGGACGTCCTGTGGGTGGGCCTGAACCGCGCAGCGTGTGTATGGGGCAGGTGTGCCGCGTGTGTGCCGTCCACCCGCCTGCCGGGCCGGCTGACACCGCGCTGCCGCCGGGCTCCTCTCGCGCTCGGCGGGGTGGACTCGCACAGCACGGTGGTCGTCAGCCAGAGCGGGGCCGTCGGGCCGGGTCGGGTCGTGTGTCACCTGCGCCCTCTTTTCCAGTGTGGGAACATGGCCCGCGAAGGCCTGCGCACCCTCGTGGTCGCAAAGAGGACGCTCACGGAGGAGCAGTACCAGGACTTCGAGGTGAGCGGCCCAGCTTTGCTCCCTGACGCCCCCGGCCCTGCACGCCTGGTACCTGCTGTGTGAACCGGGGGTCGTGTGGCGCCAGCCCAGGAGCGTGGGCACTTAGACCCCGGCCCGTGCTCCGGCCTCCAGGGAAGGGGAGTCCGCAAGCGACAGGGAGCCTCCTGTAGTACCGCAGGGCCCACGCTCAGTCAGTCCCGAGTGGCCGATAGCACAGCCCGTCCCCAGCCTCAGAGCCGGCCGTGCGCACATGGACACACGAGCTGTCTGTCCTCAGAGCCGACACGCGCAGGCCCGGCTGAGCGTGCACGACCGGGCGCTGAAGGAGGCGGCCGTGCGGGAGAGCCTGGAGCGGGACATGCAGCTGCTGTGCGTCACGGGCGTGGAGGACCGGCTGCAGGCGCACGTGAGGCCCACGCTGGAGTTGCTGCGGAACGCCGGCATCAAGGTACAGCCTCTGGGAGGCCCGACGCGGCGCCTGCGGGCGGCCACGCCCGGTGACGGGACCCCGCGTGTTTCAGCGCACAGCTGCTTTTCAGACAGACTGGCGGGTAGATAGGCTGACTGGAGACAGCATGGAGGGACCGGCAGCCGAGCCTGGCTTCAGGGCAGGGGGAGGCCGCGGCCTGCAGGGCATGGTGGGCGCTGCCCCCGGTGTGGGCCAGACACAGGACAGCGCGTCAGTCAGGATGCACGGAGGGCTCAGGGTGGGGGGCATGCGGGCGCACTGCAGGCTCAGACCAGCGACCCCTCACCCTGGACATTTGCACGCTCGTTTTCTCGTGCTTTTTCATAATCTGCAAATCAGGGTCTCCGTCGCCCGTGCCAGATTACCAGCATGCTAGAGCAGTGAGTGTTCTGGCATATAAGACTGGGCATTTGTATCAACTCCTTGCTGAACTGCGAGACTTCCTGCAGGGCAGTCTTTTCTTTCCATTTCCTGTGGAAAGGAAGCCCCCTTCCCTCTCCATGTGGTGAGAGCGTGTCACTTCAGACAGCCCTCAAAGGCAAAGGCCCCTCAGCGGGTCACACCCTCCTGGGTTGCAGGCTTGTCAGTGGTGGTTCTTGTCCTGTGTTCCTTGTTCCCGACTATGTCCCGACAGTGTCAGAGTCTCAGGTCCAGCTCAGTAAGGTGCATACAGATGCATAAAATAAATGAAGAGCGCAGAGACCCAGACACCGAGAACCACACACAGACCACACCCAAGCAGAGAATCCGTACAAATAACTTTCTTGTTCCTGGTCCAAAAATGCATATTTATACCTGGCGCATAAGGCATCTGAAACACCCACTGGAAGTTTTTTGTTGTTATAGAAAATATTTACAAGCCGCCCGATTACATAGTGTCCTGATTTTGCTCTTCTTAGACGAGGGACATTACATACATAACGTGTTTGTGTGTGTGTGTGTGTGTGTGTGTGTGTGTGTGTGTGTGTGTGTGTGTCTACGTAAAAGCAGGACTACTGGACGTGCTTTGTTTCATGCGCCTTTCGGCTGAACCACCACCTGTTTACCCACTTGGAACCTCGGCTCCCGGCTGAGAAAGCAGCAGCTGGAATAGGGGTGTTCCGGTGCTCCCAGCCCAGGAGCCCATGACCGTGTGGTGCCTTGGGCCTTTTCGTTTGGCTGTGAACCTACCCTTTGACGTATGCAGTTGTCCCTCCAGCCTCAGCCATGCGATTCCTGAGCCGCAGCCACTCTTGTGCCCCAGATCTCAGCCCTGAGTCTGAGCATCACTTTGCTCTCACTTGCTGTATTGCTAAGCAAATCAGCAGAGGCTTTTTACTGTGGGGAAGCGTACGTGACATAAAATGGACCATCCCAACCACGTTTAAGTGTCCAGTTCCCTGGCACTAAAGACACGCACAGTCTGTGCAGCCGTCACCTCCATCATCTCATGAACTTTCTCATCTCCTCCAACTGAAGCAACTCTGTTCTGTTAGACGCAGTACCCCAGCCCCTGGCACCCACCATTGGCCTCCTGTTCCTGTGAATCTAGGGACCTCAACTGCGTGGGGTGACACAGCATGTGCCCTTTTGTGGCTGGTGTATTTCACTCAGCAGTGTCCTCACGGTTCATTTCTGTTGCATTGCGTCCATGCCACACTCTGCTGTCCGTCCATCCATCGATGGACACGTGGGTCGCTTCCACATTTCAGAGAGTGTGAATCGTGATGCTGTAAGCATGGTGTGTAGATAGCCGCTCAAGGAGAGACACTTCTAAGAGATGAAAGTGTAGCATAAGGCGCTCACCACGTGCAATCGCTTCCTAGATCTGGATGCTCACGGGCGACAAACTCGAGACGGCCACGTGCATCGCCAAGAGCTCGCACTTGGTGTCCCGGACCCAGGACGTTCACATCTTCAGACCAGTAAGTGTGCGTCCGCATCACGTGGACGTTTAAATGTGTCTCTCACAGTGAAAACCTGTCAGTGTCGTGAGCATGTATATGCAGTTAGCTAATCGCTGAGTATCTGTTTTAAAAGGGAAATATTGTAATTTTCTTAATTTGTTAAAAATAGATTTCTTTGCGTTATGCACATTAAATAGGAGCAAAGGCTGCTTGTTGATAGAGGGAAACAAGTTCTAAATTCCAGCCTTTTCTGTTGTTCTGTTAGAATTGTCTCTACAACTAAGTGTCTGTTTTAAAATAGACACGTATGTTGGTAAAAACCACATTTTTCTATTGGCTACACACAGCGCATGGGATTCAGAAGCTGCTTTTGAGAAACAAGCTCTAAATACAGAGTAGGAATGTGTTTTTAATCTCCCACCATTTCAGACTAAACGCGCCTCCTTAATTAGCTCAAAGAAACTTAATAGAAATGATCTAAATTTATGTGTTTACTGTATGTATTAGTTATGACTAAATTTAATGGAAACAAAAAATAAAAGTTTCTTGGGTCTTGATTGATGGTGGGAGAACAGACATTGTCTGTCTGTGCCTGTTCTAAATGAAGCACTCGCACCTACAGAAACAGTTATTTGAATATAATTTACATGTAAATAGTTTATTTCGAAGCATCAGAATCGCAAATTAGGCCCTGCAGACTACTATTTGCAATTAAATTATTAATGATTCTGATAAAACTTCAGATCAATTTTTGTTGACTTTTCAGCATTATAGCACCACAAATTAAAATTTCCACAATAAAACCTACCTATTTAAAGATGAGTGTGAGATTAATTTGGGCCACATGAAACTTTTAATTTATTTCTGTCCTGTAATATTATCATTTCTTTTATGCCCCATTAAAATCTCCACAGAAAGAATGTAAAAAACCAGTATATTGATTTCTGAAATGTTTTCATTCTAAAATTAATGATATTTCAAGATCATGACTTGGTTTTACTCTTTTAAGTCGTTAATCCTTCACATATTTTGTTTGCCAGAACTAACAGAACAGACCTGTGGCAGAGACAACAAGAGCCATTTTATAAAACCGCTTGCATCACGTGGTGTATCATGAAGGGACGCGTCTCAGTACACCTTCTTTTAGATCCAATGTGCCTCTGCTGTGCGGCCGTGGAACCCGTCTTCCTGGGCCCCGGCGGCAGCGGCTGTACTGAGACGTGGTTCTGACGCACTGTGTCCCCCCCGCTGTGCGCTCCCTGGAACGCCACGGACTTGTAACTGGTGTGATGATGGTCTCTTCTGGGACCGTGTGGATAAACCACTGCTGTCCCGAAGGGCAGAGGCGGTGCTAGCTCACTGGGGCCCTGTTACCGGTTTTGGACAAGCCAGCTGCTTCCGCTCACTTTATCTATTGTAATTGTGGGACTTTAACTGCCTTCACTGTGTAAGTTCCCCGCCGTGAGTTGCCACAAATCGGAAAAAAAGCAGTCTGTTCGATAAGGAGGTGCTTGTCCCCAGCACTGTGGGAGATGTTGGGGAGCGCTGTCTCTACAGAGCCTCATGTGGAGGTGGCTTCCCATTCTGGGTCTCGCTGTGATTCATACCTGAGGGCTGTGGCTGTGCGTCGGGCTTAGATAATGCTGTAACTTGGGTCCTTCCCCTTTTGTGCAGGTCACCAGTCGAGGGGAGGCCCATTTGGAGCTGAATGCCTTTCGAAGGAAACATGACTGTGCACTGGTCATATCTGGGGACTCCCTGGAGGTGAGGCTGGCATCTGTCTTTCTGTCTGCCCATCTCCCTGGAGGTGAAACTGGTGTCTGTCTGCCTGTCTGCCCGTCTCCCTGGGGGTGAAACTGGTGTCTGGCCCAGCATGTGTCTGTTTTACCTGCTGGTGGACAAAGGGCTTCCAGAGTTGAGTGTATTTATCCGGCTGCTTTTGCGAGTCTGCTGTCTTTCAAGTCACTGCTCTCGCGGCAGCAGTTATGGCCGGAAGGAGTGTCGTGATTGTGTCGGGGCGGTGATGCACTGGCCATAACGGGGCAAGACCAGCCCACACTTTGGAGGAGGCCACTGCTCCCCGCATCCCCGGGCTGGGCCGCTGTGGCTGCCGGGGGTGTGACCGGCTCTGTGTTGCAGGTGTGTCTGCGGTACTATGAGCACGAGCTCGTGGAGCTGGCCTGCCAGTGCCCCGCCGTGGTGTGCTGCCGCTGCTCGCCCACCCAGAAGGCCCACATCGTGAAGCTGCTGCGACAGCACACGCACAGACGCACCTGCGCCATCGGTGAGCGCCCTCCGGGACACCCCGCTGTGCGTGCATCGTGGCCTCGCCCCTGAGCCCTGCATCTCGCAGACACTGCTGTTGTGCAGTTGACGGGCACAGTCATGTTCGAGGTGTGGCAGCAGGTTGATGTCACCTCTGTCACTGGGTGTCCTGACTCGGCCTCTGCCAGTGAGAGAGACAGCCCCGTGTGCGGGCCTGTTCTTCACCCCAGTTTTCTGTGCTCTGCAGGTGACGGCGGGAATGATGTAAGCATGATCCAGGCTGCAGACTGTGGGATTGGCATTGAAGGGAAGGTACGCTTGTCCTTCTGGCACCACGGCGCCCTGAGCGTGTACTCGGCTGTGTGCCAGGCTCCGGGCCGCACACTGGGGTAAAGGGGGAACCCATCCCTGGGACACCTTTAGGAAGAGCAGGTAGAAAGCGAAGCAGGTCCGTGCCAAAACCCTCTGGGGTCCTCGCTGTCCTCCGAGTGACGTGTGGGACTCTGTAGCCTGCAGGCCCCTCCCCGGAGACATCGCCACGTCCTCTGGGAGGGTTATCTTGACGATGCCCACAGGGTCGCCCCACCCCACCCCCAGCAGTGCCCGCTCCGCCTCTGCACAGTGTCTATGATGCGACAGGGCTGAAGCACACGGACCCCGAGTGGGTCGGCTCTCTGAGGCAGGCGCTGCGTGGCCCCTCGGAAGCTGCGCCTTCCTGGGGGTGGGCAGGAGGGATGTCGCCTTCTGGGTGGGGTTGCGCTCCGGATGCACCTGGTTGGCCGCTGTGAGCACAAGCGCAGGGTTTCTGAGCACCGCTGGGCGTTGCAGGAGGGGAAGGCGGCCTCGCTGGCGGCGGACTTCTCCATCCAGCGCTTCGAGCACGTGGGCCGGCTGCTGGTGGTGCACGGGCGGAGCAGCTACAAGCGGTCAGCGGCGCTCGGCCAGTTCGTCATGCACAGGGGCCTGGTCATCTCCACCATGCAGGTACCGCGGGGACAGGCCGGGCGTGGCACGGGGGGCACGGGACCCCCCGGGCATTGGCCGGAGGCCTGGACTGACCGCTGTCACTGTCCTCTCTCCAAGGCTGTGTTCTCCTCCGTCTTCTACTTCGCATCCGTCCCTCTGTACCAGGGTTTCCTCATGGTGGGGTAAGTGACACCAGCCTGCTCAGCAAACTATCACTGACAGGCCCACGTAATTTGCTGTTTGAGTAACTCGCTGAGCTGTCAGAGTTTCGAATGGCACGTGGTGACATAAGAAACCATTGCACTGCTTGCAGGAGCCTGGGGACAGTGCCTGTCCATGTGTCCCTCTTGCGATAATACCGTTAAATTTCACATTAGAATTTCTGTCTTCACGGTGAAGCCATAATATGTGTAGGGAACTATGTTGGAGTCAAGGTGTTTGAAAGCGTCCCGGGAGGGCGATGACAGCCCGTCACAGTGCCCAGAGGGAAGCGCCCCCTGCAGCCTCCCCTCTCCCGGCTGGAACGCCGTAACCGTGACGGGACGGGACGGGGCTGGTCAGCAGCAGCCACAGGCGAGCAGAGCACATTCCAGAACAGGTGCTGGGACGGCCTCCCTGGCACAATGCAGTCTCATCCTCAAAGACACCTGCTCGGCGGCCTCGAAACACGGGCCACAGAGCGGCGCGCCTGCAGTTGTAATTGAAGCTCAGCTTGTCCACTGGAGCGACAAAACCAGAAGTTTCTGGTAAAAGTGGATAATCGGAGCACCCTCTTCTCCTCATCCTCTGTAATTACAGCAGGAAATGAAATCGGTGTCACTGCTGGTGTGTGGTGGTAACGCAGCCACGGTTTTGTCACGGGCACCACGGAGCCCATCACTCACGGTCCGGGCGTTTCCCAAGGCGGCATCGTGAGCGCACGTGCTCCCGGCACGTTTCTGAGCGCCGTCCCAGCCCCACAGTGTCCCTGTGACACAGGCTGTGAGCTTTCCCGCATCGCAGGTGGGAGCAGAGACCCAGCGAGCCCGGGAACGCGCTCGAGGCCACAGAGCCCGTAGGAGGCAGAGGCAGGACAGGGTCGGGCACACGCTCCTGTGCGGGCCACCAAGGGCAGACCCGTGCTGCAGTGCGTGTCCTGAGCACTCCTGGAGCCGGGCCAGCCCTGCGGCACAGTCCGTGCTGTGAGCTGCTGGCGCCCCGAGTCACAGCTGGCGCCACGTCCTGCCCCCCAAGGCTCCATCCTCTTTACGGCCCCCTTGATGGTGTGGCACGCTGCCCCCATGTCCAGCGTCGGGACTGCGCCCCTGGGGCCTGCACAAGTGGTATCCCCTGGCCCATTCCTTTGGATGGCTTCTCCCAGGAACCTCCCCAGCTCCCAGGCCCGTCTGTGCGTCTCAGCCTGTTCCCCCAGAGCTCTGAGGGGACACACGACTGGACGTCACAACAAGCGCGTAGACCCGGCAGGAGGGGCTGCGGATGGCTCGGAGGGCAGGCAGTGAGACTGCTGGCAGGCGGCACTCAGCCGGCCACCGGCCTCTACGTGGACGTGTGTCCCTGAGGCAGCTCTCCTGTGTGCAGGCGCCCCTTGCTTGCTCATCCCACTGGGACAGGTCACCTCCCCTTGTTCCTGTCACCCGGACGCGGACTGAATCAGCTCCAGGAGCTCAGAGTTCTTCACTTTTCTGAAGACACGGTTTTTAAATAAAAAGGCCAACTGGGAAAAACTATTTTCTGTACACATACGGGACAAAGGATTTGCATCAGGGATGTTTAATGATCTCCAAATAACTCAGTTTCTTTAAAAAGGGTAAAGATTTGAACAGCATTATAAAAGAAGATACAAGAATGGTAGATAAGCCCTTGAAAATATATTCATCACCAACAGTTACAGGAAATACAGATTCACCCACAGTGAGATTGCACTACAGAGGCCAAGGAAGCAGACAGCATGCTACGTGTCGGCGAAAACGTGGAGTTCCTGGACTCGTACATGTCCCGGTAGGGATGCAGAACAGCAGCACCAGTGCCGAAAAGGCTTCGACAGCTTTCCTGCGACTAACATCCCACACGTGGGACCCAGCGGTCCTCCCCGTGTTTGCCCATTGGCACACGAGGACTGGCACAGCTGTTCCTAGCTTTATGTGTGATGACCAAAGACGGGCACACGCAAGTGTCCACCAGCTGATGGGCAGAACACTGCTCCATCTGCACCGCAACACGGGACAGCGCTGAGGACACACGCCACGCCTGGTGGGTCAGGGCCCCATGCCCACAAAAGCAGCCAGGCTCAGGGCGTCCCGCTGTGTGACACTGGAGGGCAGCACATCCAACCTGGGGAATCTCACAGCTCTCCGGCTTGCCCAGGGCTGGGGGGTCCCCAGGGCCCTTTCGGGTAGTGCAGGTTACAGGCCTGGAAACACTCAGAACTCACCGAGTGCACACTGAAAACCAGCCTCAGTAGTTCATGCAGTAAAAGTGGTGACGAGGTTCCTTGAAGGTTGCAAAGCTGGAGTAATGTCTGGCAGAGAAGAGCCGAGTGCTCAGAGAAGCACGTTACACAGATGGAGGGTCCGGCGGGCGCTCCTGTGCCCTGGCGAGTCATGCATCAGCAGACCCGGACGAGCCTGTGTCCCGTGTCAGTGGGCTCCATCTGGACTGCTTGGCCCTTTCAGTCCCTAAATTCCAAGGGAGCTGGGAGTTGTTCCCAGAAGATTAACAAAAGTAATTAAAGACCTGGAGGAAAATCGAAAGGCAGCAGGTTTAACTTCATAAAGAAAGTGAAGGGCCGGCCGAGTGGCGCGATGGTTAAGAGCTGGCTTGGGATGCCAGAGGGCCCCGGTTCAGATCCCACATATGAGGGCCAGTGACACTGCCCTCTACAGCTAAGATGCTGAACAACAGCTCAACCTGGAGCTGGACTGCTGTGAGTCGCCGGCGACGGGCATAGGCTGCAGCCCCTGTGGCAGTGAGTTGCCATAAGCTACAGTGTGAAGCCAGCAGCCGCTGTGAGCGGCCAGCAGCCAGCGTGAGCGGCCGTCCAGAAGCCGGCGACTGATGTGCCTCGCCCGGGAAGAGCACAATGATGGTGCCAACTTGGGCCAGTGAAGCAACGTCCTCCACAACTAGACTGAAGAACAAAACGACAGCAACTTGTCTGTTCCCCTTCCACCAATTCCCCAACGCTGTTCCCATCCCCCAATTCCCCAATAAAAAAAATCAAAAAGAAAAAAAAAAAGAAAGTAAAGGTTGCGTCTGTAGATAAAGCACATAGATGTGTAAGATTTCCGCCCACCAGGCAAGTCCCAGGGCACAAGCAACACGAGAGGGTGTGTCCTTCACCACCCACGTGACAGCCAGTTGGTGACGTGGAAGCCGGCCTCCGGTGTTCACCTGCCACACGCTGACAGGTACAGCGGTGTCTTTAGACTCTTCTGCACCTCTGCCTGCCACTGGATAACTTCCCAACCTCACAGCTTTCTCACAGGTGAAATGTCATTTTAAAAAGTCCAGGTGGGTCTCCAGGCCCCTGGGTGGCACACGGCAGTGGGCTCTCAGCTCCTCCCGTGTGTGTCCCGTGCTGGGAGCTGAAGGAGTCGCAGCTGGAAGTAACAACAGCACAGAAATACTGTCCCCACCTCCCTGAAAAGTGGGAGCCAGCACTTCCACCCTCACGTGGCTGCAGTGGGGTACCCTCCCCCGTGGCCAGGTGGGAAGGCAGGACCCCACCCCGAGTAAGGACGCAACGCTCACTTTCCCCAGCAAAGCAGAGCCAGTCTCCTGCACAAACCCAGGTGTCCAGGTGACAGTAGAAAACCACTCGCCCCACCAAGAACCAGGAAGATTTCAAAGGGAGTGAAAAAAACAATGGTCACCAACCCTGAGATGCAGAGATGTAAGAATTATCTACAAGGTATGAAAATTCTTTGATGAGCCATTATGAACACACTCGGAACAAATGAAAAAACAAAACATCTTAGCAAAGAAACAGAAAATATAAAGCAGAATGAAATGGAAATTTTAGAAACGAAAGCATAATAACCAGAACAAAAATGCATGGAGAACAGAGGCGATGAAGCCGCAATGAACGGCAGGAAAGGGCGTTGGAAAACACCAGTGAGAGTGAAAAAGCCACCAGCGCCTCGGGGACGTGCCGGGTGGTGACACAGGTCTCTCCCGCGTGGCCTTAGAGTCTCGGGAGGAGGAGAAGGCAGGGCCGAAAAGGACTCGAGGAAATAATGGCTGAAAACTTCCCAAATTTCACAAAACACATAAACCTACAGATTCAAGAAGGTAAGCAAACCCCAAACAGGATAAATTCAAAGAAATCCTCATCAAGACACATCAGTCACAAAAACTAGAGGCGAACACCTTATAAGCAGCGAGAGAGAAGTCACCTGGGGGCGGGGGAGATAAGCAGTTACGGTGACAACAGCTGTCCCGTCAGGAAACAGGCCAGAGGAGTGGCAGACCTCGCTCCAGGCGCTGCAGGAACGGCCGCGGATGCTGCAGCCACAGGGTCCCCTCGGAGGGAAGCCACGTGCCCAGAACATCCCTCTGGACGTGCAACCGACGTGAATGACATTTTGCCCAAGAGGGTCCAGGAGGCGACGGGCACGTGGAGAGATGGGCAGCGGTGGTGCGCTTGGGGTGCAGATTCAAACCACGAGGGAGAGCGCCACCACCCGGCATAGCAGCTGAACACACGTGTGACAGTTAAGATTTCGGTGGAGAGACTGGGCCACCACACGCTGCCAGTGAGGGTGTGAGTGGTCAGCAGCTCTTTACAAAACCTCACCCACCGTGTGACTCAGCAGTCACACCCCGGGGCTGTGACCCCAGTTGGCAGTCCTGTCTAAAATAAGTGAACACTTTTACCAAAAAAAAAAAGAAAGAAAGAAACAGTGCAGTGAATGTTTGTGGCAGTCACTTCCGTGAGTGATGGGGCCCCAGAAACTGGGACTTCCACAGCCGTGTGCAGTTGGTCAGCAGGGGGAGTGCTGGCACCGCACACCCCGACGACCCAGGGGATCGGGCCGAGTGGAAACGCCCCCCACAGCCACCTGCCATGGACTGCACATAGATAACCTTGAAGTGACAAAAATTGTAGAAGGGAGAACAGGTTTGTGGTGGCTGGGGCAAAGGAGGCTGGGAGGGGAGTGGTGACAGGAGGGCTCTGTGTGTCTGGACGCTGTCAGTGTCCCCATCCTCCCTGTGGGTCGGGCTACTGTGGGCAAGACGCTGCCGTTGGGGGTGCTGGGGGAGGGGGTAGAGGGTGAACGGTCCTCTGGGCCTCGCGTTACTGCACTAGAACTGCACCTAGTGCAACGATCTCAAAACATTTACAAAAAGATCTGGGTCCCACTACCCGTGCACACAGGTGGCCCGTGGACCGTGCTGCTGTGCCATGGGGAGCACTGGGTTTGGGGGTCCTACTTGGGCAGCTTGTCTGGGTTCTGTTCAGTGTTAGAAGCTGTGGCCTCTGGCTGCAGGCGTGTGTCCGTGGCCGGCTAACCCGCCTCTCCTCTCGGGCCCCAGGTACGCAACGGTCTACACCATGTTTCCCGTGTTCTCGCTGGTGCTGGACCAGGACGTGAAGCCGGAGATGGCCTTGCTGTACCCGGAGCTCTACAAGGAGCTGACCAAGGTGAGGCGCCGGCCCGGCCGCGTCCCAGCCGCCGCAGCCCCGTCGTTTGCCAAGCGGGGGGTAATTTCCTTGCAGGTGTCAAACCCTCTGTCCTTCCAGGCTTCGCTTTGTCCCAGTCCTTTTCTTTTGAGTGAGACTTCCAAAGGGGGGGGCAGTTGCTCTCTCAAGTGCTGACATGGAGTTCGAGCCTGAGAGGGCGCTCTGAGCCCTGGAATGCTCACGCGTGCAGCAGGCAGACGGGCCGCTGCGCCGCGCTGGCCCATCGGCGCCCCTTCCCTGTGTCTGCGTCGGAGTCTTAGGCGCTGCGGTGCCGCCTGGACCGAGTCCTGTCAGGGGGACACAAGGCAGCATTCCAGAGCTAGAAATCCAGGGGTCCCCTATCCCAAGCCCCTCTAGTCGTGAGCTTCAGCACTGTGCCAGAAACACGAGCGGCAGTGTGTTTTTGTCCCTGAGGCCTCATGCTGCTGAGAAGAGCCCCCCAAAACCCCACTTCCCTGAAACTATGCAAAAAACCCTTTCACTTGCCTAAAACTGTGCTCTGTTAGATTGAAATATTCCTGAAGGAAGTCTCGAGTTTACCAGGCTTTTATGAAAGCACATTTTTGTAGCACAGAAACATGCTCAGCTCTCCAGATACAAATTGGGGTGACTTTGGAATCTTCCTAAAGGCTGGCTTTTCCCAACCAACACTGAGAACAAAATCAGCTAACCCCCAGTTCAATTTAGGGGTACAGGCGATAGCCGTGGGTGTCTGACTCCGAGCTCTAAAGCTGTCGCAGCGTGTGGGTAAACCAGCGGCTGCAGCCTAGCACCACTAGCCGCTCGGTGCCTGGTACGCACGTCACGGTGACCGGATTTCACGGCGCCGCTGGAAGGAGCTGGCGAAATCACGGTGTTCAAGTTCCTTGAAAAAAATACAGAATGCCCATAATACTTCTGTAATCGGGACAAAACTAAACCTTGTCCACCGATACAGAATAAATAAGGCAGACGAGCAAGCACTGTGCGTGTGAGGTAATATTGCCGTGCATATTACAAGCAGAAGAGAAACTTCGGTTTATGTCCTGTGGTGAATCATTGTTGTTCAACAAAGCAAAATAGGGTCAAAGATCCAAAATCTACAGGAAGCTATTGCAAATAATTGTAATCTTAGTAGATTGTGTGTTTCCTTAATTCCAAGACTCCAGAGTGCTTATGTAACTGCTGCCTCACAGACGTCAGGGCGGAAATGAGCTTTCCTGAAGAATATAAAGCGAGATGAGCCGCCCTGATTCACGTAGGCATTCGCACCTGAGCTGAGCCAGGGTCACCTGGGTCAGCCCAGGTGACGCTGCCAAGCGGGCAGGGTGGGGACCATCGGCCAGTCGCTGGGGATGAGGCTGTGGAACACGTTCTCACTGGGCCCACCAGCATCTCCTGGTGGCTAAAGGTCACTCTAGTGACAAGAATGTGTGCAGGGTCACAAGCCTCCAAGCTGACTCACATCTAACTGTAAATTCCATGCCGTTCGCTGACACATTTAGACAACTCAGACGAAGCTGGCTCTCGTTATGAGCACTGGCTTTCCATTTCTGTCACGGCGGCCAACCATTTAGAACATTTTAATACCCTAAAGTCAGGACACTAAATTAGAATCATTCAATATCCTAAAGTCAGGACACAGTTTTTTTTAAAAGAGTTTAGTCACTTATTTTCTACAGTCTCCTTTTCTCTTTAAGATTGAAAATCTATACTTTTTGTCTTTATGTATATATTTCTTTAAAAATCGAATACGCTTCAAATCCTTTAAAAACAAAATAGCACCAAAGTACTCAACCATTTAACTTGATAAAAATTGAGCTACTTTCTCTTCTTGGTGCTAGAGAGCCATTTGGAAGCTTATAATCTTCTGATCACTCGGCCGAGCTGGTCTGAACACAGCACTTGGTGTCACCCCCCGGGCACGGGGCAGCGACGTGGTCTGAGTCCTCAGTGTGGGCAGGCTGGCGAGGGCGCAGTGCTGGGGGCTTGTGAAGACACGTAAGGCGGAGTTCCCGGTCTCAAGAGCCCGCATTTAGTCAGGAAGAGAAACCATACATTCCGGTGAATTAAATGGTGGTGAAACAGCTCAGGCCAGCAGCATAAAGCAGGCAGGTTGGAATGTAAGCAGCTGGTAAGTTCTGAGCAAATCTAGGGCCGCAGTCAGTTGGTAAAACACCTTTTGAGGTCCTCAGGTGAGCACAGTGCATGGCCCTGGCAAACGCAGGTGTGTGCTTTGCGGTCAGACACCTGCTTTTGTACGGATTCGTAAGCACGGGTCTCTGTGTGAGCGCTGTGAGTCCAGGCGTCCCCAGTCCCCTCAGGTGTCAGCAGGCGGGCCGGGTGTGGCCGGAACCATCGTCCTCCCAGGATCTGCTCAGTGGGGGTTTGCGGGGTGGACGATTCTGTCAGACAGAAAGGCGGTATCGCCTTCCTCTTCTAAACCATACAGTCCTCGTTCCTAGCAGAAAACGGTGTGTTTGTAACGATGAAATTCTGGTGTTCCTCTTCAGGAGGTCAGAGCCTGTTTTGAATTATTCAGCTTTACGCGTGCCGAGTGCTGTCACGTCTTATTTTCTGGGTGCTGCTAGTAAGACAGGAACTGTATGTCCTCATCCTGCACCCCCCACCACCACCACAGATGGCTCTGTCCTGAATGGCCCGTGGCCCCTTGTGCAGAGCACCTGAGCCTGAGACCAGGGGTCACTCAGCAGCGTGTGGCTGGCTCAGCTGAGTCAGGTGGGCTGAACCCATGGGTGCTGAAGTATCAGCTTGTCAGTGTGAATTCCAGTTACCGATTCATAGTTTATCCTCCTGAGAAGTTAAACTGCTAAACTAACCACAGAAATGCCTGAGCTGTAGCTGTGCTAATGGTCCAGGTATCGAGGAGGTGACCTGCCGACCTTCATAAAGACCTTGGGACCACTGGACCTTGAACGCTGAGGATTGCTTCACTGGGGTTTTTCTGTTGAATATTCTCCACAGGGTTTTAACTTTTGAAATGTATTTTTGTGTCCTTATCTAATAATGATAAGGCAAGAAAAGGAAATTCAAAGACAGACGAGAAAGGAAGAAATAAAAGTATCTATGCTGATGCCATAGTTGGCTGTAGAAAATCTGAAAGAATCCCCAGGAAACCTAGACTCACAAGTTTAGTAAGAATACAAGCAAAGTATCTTGAATCACTTCTAAATCTATGGTCTAGCAATGAACAGCTGAGGTCTGAAAAACATTTATATGCTGTTTATAATATGAAAAAGGAAAAAGCTTTGGTATCACCAAGTACGTGTAGGATATTTGTGCTGAAACTGAAACGCTGAGAGAGAAATCTTACGAAGGTGTAGATAAATGTCCGTGGGTTGCGAGACTCCACGCGGGTGCGTCTTGACCAGCTGACTCTGAAACTTACGTGGAAAGTCAAGGGCATGGAGTTACCGAAACAATCGTGACAAAGAGCAAAATCAGAAGAGTTCCTGTACGACAGGAATCAAGGCCGTGATGACTGGCAAGAGACAGACACACAGACTGGGGACGGAGTCCAGGGCCCAGAAACAGAGCCAGTGCATCAGCCCGTCTCGGACACACGTGACAGGACGCCTAGTGGGGGAAGGACAGGCTTCTCAACAAATGCTGTTCCCCAAGCTGGTCACCCCCAGCAAGCATGGACCCTCACCCCACCTCACACTTCTACCGAAATCCCCTCAAGATGGGTCATGACCTGAATGTGAAATGTGACACTGTAAACCTTCCAGAAGAAAACGTGCACGGCTTTGGGTCAGGCAGAGTTATAGATACGGGGTCAGAAGCGTAACGGGAAGAGCTGACAAACTGGACTTCATCATGATTAAAAACCTCTGCGAATGACACTGTTAAGGAAGTGGGAAGACAGACCACAGGCTGGTAGGAAATATTTGCAAATCACACCTCTGACAAAGGACTTGTGCCCAGAACATGTAAAGAATCCTAAAAACAAAAAGAACACAAGCCCCCAGTTATTTAAATGGACAGAGGCCTGACTGACAGCACGCTGAGGTGGTCGTGTCCACACAGCACGAAGCACGTGAGGGTGTGCCCAACGTCATGTTCCTTAGGGGACTGTCACTGAAAGCACGGGTTCTCCTGCGACGTGCAGAACTGCCGTCTTGTGCTTCGTGACTGTCGAGATATCATAAACATGTCTGCTGGCCCTGGCCTGAAGCAGTGAGGTCACCTGTCAGGTGACACTGCACGGGCCAGTCCTTGTAGAACCTGTTCCGAAGTATCCTGGGCCGTGACGGGCCACACTTGTCACATACTGAGCGGCGTGTTTCGTTGGATGGAGTCGGATTCACCCCTTAGGAACGCAGGATGAGAATTTAAAGAAATAAACCGTTGATACAAGAAACGAGCGACAGTGAAGAGAACCCCAGGAAACGGGTCTTCTGTCCCTGCCCTCGTGCACGGGGGCCCACGTTTCTGCTGGAGATGCACTCACTTCTCCCCGGTGGCCGGACCTGCCGAGTCAGGGGACTGTCCTCCCAAGGTCGCACCAACTCCGCTCCTCAGGAGACGGTCCCGGGTCGGCGTCGCCTGCGCTTCCGCATCGTTAGTCACCTGTGGAAGCCGCCTCCGAGTTGCCGTCACGATGGGAATCAGGAAAACACCCGTTTCCCTTCATTCTAGTAGCACCAGAGAGAGGAGGCTGAGGAGGACGACGAGGTACGGGGAGAAAGGCGGCCGGCGCTTCTGAGCCGCTGGGCGTGTCGTCTGGAGCCTGAGCACTCCTCGCCTGCTGTGTGCTCGCTCGCGTGCAGCACGTGCGCCCATCACCGTCACACCCACACCAGCGCGATGCCCGCGGGTAGAGCAGCCCCCCGGCGGGCTCCTGGGGCTTGTGGTGGAGCCGTGGTTGGTGACGAGTGGGAGCAGGGCTCCCGCAGTCTGTCGTGGGGTCGTCGGCACAGCTCACACACTTCCCGGCGTCGGTGTCTCACCCACCTGGGGACTGTGCTCGTCACTTCTGCACAAACTGGAGGAAACGAGCACTCGCAGGTGACACTTGAGCCCGTCACGGCGAAGAGGGGGTGGCCCGGTGACTGAGAGCCAGCGGTGCGTGGCCCCCGCTGCGTCCGCTCCCTTCCTGGGCACAATTCCTGCTGCACGGACATGGGTGTGGCAGTGACAGCGTATTCCTGCCCCTAAGTCACGTGGACGGAGCGTGGGCCGTGCTGAGGATGCCTGCACCACTAAATACGAGATCTTTCCTTGTGCCCCAGAGCTAACATCTGGAGCTTTGCACACGCGTCTCACCCAGGAGCGAGAGCCCGGGTACGTGTCCAGGTGACTCCTCCGGCGACGGCCTCACTGATGGTTTGTGCCCAGGGCCTGACCATGTGGGACATGCTGTCGGCAGACACTAGCGGGGATGTCTGTTGCCCCTGACGCAGGGCATGGCCCCAGTGTGTGCGCTGGTAATTAGGTCACAGGCCTGCTGGCAATAGGTGTCAGCAAACCTGGCGACCAGGGAAACCTCTCCCTTTTATGTCAAAAAGTAAAGTTAAATTTTCTGTTAAAATATTCAAATAAAATTAACCACGTACTTAGATACACAGGAGTTTTATGAGCAAAGACCGAACCCCCACTAGTATCCAGTCAGAGACACACACGTGGGGAAAATGCACTGAAAGGACCTATTTCAAATACAAATGTTTACAGCTAAAAACCTCTGTCTTTAAGATTCCCTGTGGCCTTTTAACAAGTCACTGCATGTGTGAGTCTCCCTTTCACAGACGGGAAGTGAGGACTCGGCTCAGCCAGCATTTTACACACCCGTCCTGGAACCCGGGGACACACTGGGGTGGCCGTGCCTGTCGGGGGCACGCAGCTCCTGGACAGACGGCTGCCGGCAGCTGAGACCCACCCACACTGTTCCCCAGGGTGTCGCTGTGGGGCGCGTCCTCTGTTTTCCCCGCAGCACCAGCTCTGAGGCCTCCCTGTCCGCAGCTGCTGTGACAGGCCCCGTGGGGGTGCCGGTCGCAGGCGGAGCTTTGGACCCTGACCAGAGTGCTAACCTGCCCGTGACCTTGAGGAAACCACCAGGCTTCTCAGGTTTCTTCTCCTGTAAGTGGAGAGAAGTCACACGACACTGTAGGGAACACATGTGAAGTAGGGATACGTGTGACGGCCTCACCCAACACGCGTTGCCCCAACTGCCCCTCGCCACCAGTGGCAGTGCAGCCACTGAGGACCGAGTGCCCGTCCTTGGATGTAAGTGTCTTCGTGGGTGCGGTAGGCGAGTCCACGGCCAGCACTCTCTCTCGGACCCATCCCGAGAGCCTGGGCGAACTTTTAAACATGAAGGTTATTGCGCAGGAAACCATTCTGTTCCTCTGTGTTGGACTTGCTTACATGGCGTCTTCCAGAAAGGACCTGAGGGATAATAACTGTGACCTCAGCCTGACAGACTATTCTTTTTCATCTGAAGAAACTAAAAAGTAAATATAGGAATATGTGTTCCCGAGAAAGAAGTAAAGGGAAGTTATTTTTGCTACAAAGAAAGTCTTTATCCCCTGGTGCATTTATTTATTTATTTATTTATTTATTTATTTTTATTTTTATTTTTTTTTAAAGATTTTATTGGGGAATTGGGGAAGGGGACCAGCCAAGTTGTTGTTCTTCAGTCTTCATTGTGGAGGGTGCCAGTCGCCATCTGGCTGCCCGTCGGCAGCTCGTGGCCTTTAAGCTCAAGGTGCTGTGTTCAATCTTAGCTGCGGGTGGGCGTAGCCACCATCCCATGCGGAAGTCAAACCAGCAGACTTGTTGTTAAGAGCACACGCTCTATCCACTGAGCCACCCGGGTAGCAGCTCAGCTCAAGGTGCCGAGTTCAGTCTTAGTTGCAGGTGAGCGTAGCCACCATCGAACAGGCAGTGTTGTTACACCCGCCGGGCCATCCTGCCACCTGTCAGCAGCTCAGCTTGGACGCAGTATCACAGGCCCATGTGGGAATCGAACTGGCGGCCCCGTTGCTCAGAGCTCACACTCTTAAGCCAACTCTTAACCAACGGAGCCACTCGGCCGGCCCCTCCCCTAGTGCACTTAAATGTTTGTTTATGCACTTGGACTCCGGTCACTGGGAAGCCCAGGGACACGTAGCTATGGTGTAAAGGTCAGCAAAGGTCAAGCCCCGAGTGTGCAGAGTGGACAGCTCAGATGCACAGGCAGGACAGGTGGCTGGGTTGGTGTCTGGTTGGGCTGGGGGACCTGGGGGCCTGGCGTCACCAGGCCTGGCTGCTGGAAACACAGGTTGTTAACCAAGCTCTCCCACTGTCCCCAGGGCAGGTCCTTGTCCTTCAAGACCTTCCTCGTCTGGGTTTTGATCAGCATTTACCAAGGTAAGGCGGCCCTTGTCTCCTGTTAGCAATGTCGTTTTCACCTCACAGTTAAATTCCAAAAGCTTAAAATGTCATCAGCAGTTAGATGTTGCTTCCTGTTTATCTTGTCAGTCGATATTCCACAATGCAGCATGGGTTGGTATTTTTAACTGACGAATATCACCTAAAAACTGACCTGGTTTTAATTAAATGTTAATCCAGAAAAATTTTAACAAGCACTTACCACGTCGTAGACCCCACACAATGGTTTTCTTTCACGAGCCCACGGCAGGACTGAGAACCTGAATTACGTCACCAGAAGTGGTCAGGTAGCCTTGGTCTGGTGTCCGGACAAAGGAGAGCCTGTTGCAAGTGCAGTTCACAGACGCCAGGTCCATTGTTGACGTGCTAACCGTTTACACTCACTGACGAGGAGGCGTGGCGTTTCCTCCAGATAGTAGAGTATTTTTAAGCCTCTACTTGGGTTTCTGATGGTCCAGCTCAGGGGTTGGCAAACTTTTGAGACAGAAGAGCTGCCAGGGGTCAGCAAACTGTGGCTCGCGAGCCACAGGCTCTGAAGTAAAATTGAAAATGAAAATAAAACTATCATAGTTTCATTTATAAAATTTTTAAAGGCTATTATTCACATAATGGTGATTATGTGAAAATATATTTATGGCTCTCGAATAATTTTTAAATGGTTGTGAGGGACAGGATTGGCTCTTCCCGGGGTCGGCACACTTTTGAGACGGAACGCTTCCAAAGAGCCGCGTGTGGCTCGTGCGCCGCAGTTTGCCGACCCCGCTCTGGCTGGTGCCACATTGTACTTCCTTCATGATCCAGAGCTTAGGTAAGTTGTCGGTCATGTAAATGTGGGTGTGCACGTACCCGTGTCTCTGAGTGTTACGAATATCAGTCAGCTCTTCCCAGGATCCTTGTTTTCTAGCTGACTTGCACAGGAATAGAATTTCCAGCCCAATCAGAAAAAGTCGCATAAAAAGCCACTCTGGTTCCCCTGGCTGTCTTCCAGGCGGCATCCTCATGTACGGGGCCCTGGTGCTTTTCGAGTCCGAGTTTGTGCACGTCGTGGCCATCTCGTTCACCGCCCTCGTCCTCACGGAGCTGCTCATGGTGGCGTTGACCGTCCGGACGTGGCACTGGCTGATGGTCGTGGCCGAGTTCCTCAGCCTGGGCTGCTACATGGCCTCGCTCGCTTTTCTCAATGAATATTTTGGTAAGTTGCCTTGGAATCCTTTTTTGGATAATTGTTATTGATTTTTAAGCATTTTTTACTATTACTTCTTCGTACATTGCCTTAAATTGCAGATCCCAGTAAAACCCGCGTCAGAAACCTTCACAACACAGAAGCTTATTTGGGGGGAAAGATTAAACTCCTTGCAGTACGATTTTCACCATGTTGGCTTTTAAAAAAACTGACTCTGCTAAGCGGGGCCCCTTCATGCGGGGCTGTAAAGTTTGTCTTTGTCCGCAACTGCAGTAGTGCGTCCCAGGACGGGGCCCAGGCACCCACAGGATAGCAACCCCCTGCCCGTCCCCTTCTCTCACAGAGGCCACCGGGCTCCGTGTTGATGGCCTCAGCCTCATGAGCAGCCCAGCTGCCTGGCATCTTAAGTGGCGTCAGCAACATCGGCACTGTGGAGAGGTGTCACCAGCACCGTGTCCCTAAGCGCACGCGGTCTTCCCAGCCTGCCATCACCAGCCAGGGGACCTGCATGTGATACCAGACAAGAGCTGACGGTGACGGTGGCTGTCCTCATGCTCTCTGGTCCAGATTGAGGAGAGCAGGTCAGAATCGCCCTCACGGCCACATGGGCGACCTGCGCTCGCTTCTTCCCTGGGGGTGACTTCCGCGCAGGCACGCACCTCGACAGGAAGTGGCTGTGGGAGGGAGGCCTGGCGCCGGTGGGCACCACGTCCTCGTCCTCTCCAAGGCCTCCTGCTTCCCGGCAGCAGCGGGATGCGCCCCGAGCCACGTTTGCAAACGCCACTCGCCGCTCCCCTTCCCCGAACCGCAGGCTTTCCCAGCCAGGGCTTGAGAACGCCCAGACTGTGTCCCAGAGCTGACGGACGGGGCTCCGAGGGCTGCATGGGGTTTCCTTGCTAAGGTGTTTAAATCGGGCAGAGAGAAGGGACGGAATACGGTCAGATGGGACGGGAGGTGATGTCCTCGGGCTCCTGAGAGGTGTGTCCCCACTGCACATAGAACACAGTGTGGTGCTGCTCCTGGTCCAAGATGGAAGTTTCCAGAAGGTTTTCAGAAAAGGGAGGACTGCCTCGTGTCCATGCTGGCACAGCAGCAACCCTGACAGCGGTGACCTCAGCCGCCGGGAGAGGCCAGTGAGCCCCGTGTGGAACCGCGACTTCCCGGTTGCTCGTGTGGGAGCTCCAGAACTGACACCCACTGCAGAGCCTGTGGCGTGGCCTCCGCCTGCCTCGTCTGGCACCCGGGCAGACCACCGTCGGCACACACGCCCTCCCAGAGCTCACCAAGGGTGTGAGCGAGCCCGCTGTCTGGCGTCGTGCGGCGGCCTCTGCCCGTTGCGGACAGGATCTGCTCTGAGAACAGGGCTCCCAGACGGGCCCGTCGGTCTGACATCCCGAATGAGAAGCAGGCCTGTGCCAGATTACTGAACGGGCCATGTGACAGGCCCCACTGGTCACCATGCGGTGCGAGTCGGCTGACTCATGTCTCCCTGGTGAACACGTGGTGCAGCCAGGGTCACCAGATGGCTGAGGAAACCACTAACAACACACAGACACAGAATTTCAGAAAAATAAAGTGAAGAGCTGTATCCATTCTCCAAGAAGGGGGCCCTATGAAAAGGAACGCTCAAAACGAGATTTCTTAGAGATCGGAGTCATGGTGACACCTGACCATGGTGACACGGTCAGAAAACTCGAAGGCCACGAGCACTGCCCTTGAGTCAAGTGACAGTCTGCGGCCGTTTGTGACCAGCCGGCCTCACCCACACGCAGTGGCCCTCAGGAGACCTCCTAGGGGACAAAGATGACAGCCTCACGTTCTATTAAGTGGAGCAAAGCAAGCCGTGAACTGTGAATTGTTCTTGGTGAAAACTAACGTGAAACACCTTCATCCCGGAACATGAGTCACAAAATGGCTTCTCTTTCAGCAAGTTTGAACAGTGGGAACGTATGAAGTTTGTTCCCTTCCCATAACTTTAGCATACGTGTATTATAAATGGCAGAGAAGTAACAGGAATTCCACTATAAAAGTAGAAGGTGGGTGAGCTCACATGAAGCCTTTCCTCCGTGGTGACCACGTAGATAAGAGAAAATGTAAAAGTTAATGTTTCTGTATTAAAAGAAACATTCACCAAAAAAGTAGCTGGGGCCGCTGTGAAATGGCTCCTTGCAGATGTGCTGTGGCCTGATCAGAAACGTGGCGCACTCCCCGTGTGAGTATGAATTCACGTGGCGTGCGCAAGTGCGTGGTGACACGTCAGTCACAAGAGCACCTCCCTGTCGTCCTTAAAGCCGCCTGAGCACGTCTGTTGTCCCGTGCCTCCCGTACCCACCTGGTTTTGTCTCTGCCCCTGGCTTGTGTCCGAGCGGCACAGGCATGGCTTTCAGAGCGTTCAGGTGGGTGAAGCCGTCATTTCTTTCAAAAGTATAAAGTTGAGCAAACAGTGTCGGTCAAGATACTCAGCTGGTCAGGACAGTCTCCTTGGAGCTCGGTTTCTGGCCAACCTTTGGTGGCACCGCCGAAGCCTTGGCTGCAGCTGTCCCCGTTGGGAACCAGGTCCCCTTCGGGCTCTGTGCTCCTGGGGGCTTGGGGGGGCCCACATGCTAATTCAGCTCGGGGGCGTCCGGGTCCATGAGGGGACGGTGTATCCATCCCGCCGCGTTTAGTGGCGGAGCCGCTCGACGACACTTGCAGGGTTTGCGGACTCGGGTGAAATGCGGCGCGGGAGCGGCCTGCGCGCCGCCTCTGCGGACAGTGTCCGAAGGGGCAGCTCCCGCGCGCGGCCGACGCCGTGTCGGGCCCTCCCCGCGAGAATCCGCGGCTCTGCCAGCGGTGCGGGCGCAGGGGGGGCTGCTCTGCGGGGAGGGGCCCCGGGGGCGGACCCGCCTGGGGCCCGTTATTTACCTGGCGCTCAGGTGAGGCCGCGCTTCCGCGAGGAAACCTGAGGTCCCGGCGGGCCCGCGTCGCCTCGTGGGTCTGGAGGCGACAGGCGCGCGTGGCCGCCCTGCCCGCCTCACGTTTGTCCCCGCTTGTCGCCCGCAGATGTCGCCTTCATCACGACGGCGCCCTTCGTGTGGAAGGTGTCGGCGATCACCGTGGTCAGCTGCCTGCCGCTCTACCTGCTCAAGTACTTGAAGCGCAAGCTGTCGCCGCCCAGCTACTCCAAGCTGACCTCCTAGGCGCCGCGCGTGGGGTCCCGTGGGGTCCCCGTGGCCGCGGGGCGGCGGCTGCGCCACGGCCGGCAGAGGATCGGCGCCCCGAGCGCGCATCGTGCGCGGCGCACCCCTGCTTTCCTTTTTTATTTTTAGTATTTAATTTTCGTATCAAACCAGCTTCCGTTTCTATTGAAAACGAGCCCCGATTATCCCTCTGGCTGCGCAGCGCTCAGCCCGGCGCGACCCGAGAACTGACGCGGAAGCCTGGCCCCCCCCCCTCGCCCGGAATAAAGCCTGGACCTGCGAACCCCATGTGTGTGCGCGCGGCGTCCCGGCCCCCCACCGCCCACGGGTGTTTAAGGGGCGCCCTGGGGACCCTGTGTGTCAAATCCCGCCCTTTCCCTATTTGTGACATCACGACCTCACAGCCCTGTCGGCGCGGACGCGTGTCCCGTGAGCTCAGCCCCCGCGGGCCGGGCCGCCCGGGCACCCCCGCACCCGAGTGACCCCCGCAGTGGGAGCCCTGCGTCCCACGCTGTCGTCACGACGTCCGCGAGCCCGCTCAGCTGCTTGTGGGGCGTTTCCGTGGGCGAGCGGTTGGTCCCCTCGCGAAGCTCGCGAGTCACCCCCAGTCTGCGCGTCGTGCCCCCGCGGCTCCGCCGCTGCACCGAGCCCGGTGGAGGGTCCCCAGCAAGGCGGCGCCATCCTGCGCGTCCCGGCTGTTGGCGCTGCTGCTCCGCGGAGACGCCCCGGGGTCCCCGGTCCGCGCGTCTGGGGTCCCGGGCAGCGAGCGGAGCGGCTGCGCGCCCGGCTAGAAGAACCGTCCTCTCCGCCGCCCTGCCTCGGTGGTGACAAACTGCAGTCCCCTCGGAAGCAACGCCACGAGCTTCGGGGTAGCGCCTCGGGGCGCGGCTCTCAGCTGGGCGCCCAGGGGGCAGACAGGTCAACGTGGTCCTGGGAAATCGGTGTTTTACGTGCAAATCAGTGTCGCGCAGATATTTTCCTCGGCGGCGAAGGTGGTGTCGCCGGCAGTGAGCTGCTGGGCGGGGGTGTGGGGCCGGGACCGACCCCCGACCGCAGGACGCAGCGGGGCGCGTCGGCTCTCCGCCGGAGGACCAGCGGTGAGGCCGGACGCGAAGCGCGTCACCACCTGCAGGCAGGAGGCCGGGATTGCCTCTGCTTGCTCGTCCTTTTAGGTTCAGGAAGCCTTGTCAGCCCCTGAAGTTCTGATTGGCGTGGGGTGGAGCCAACCCCACGGGACTGAGGAGTGTGTCTCCGTGTCCGGGGCCTGAAAACTGCGTTTTAACGGTTTGCTCGTGTCCCTGGGTCCTTCCCTGTCTGCTGTAAGCTCCACGAGAAGGGCCATCCTTGCACTCAGTGTCCACGCGTGCCTTGTGCAGACCCCGAGCTTAGAGGCCGACGGGGCCAATGTCAGCCGATGACGCTGTCCTGGGGCGGGAGCCCTGAGAGATGGGGGTGCAGGACGGGAGGCAGGGCGGTGAGAACGAGGCTGGGGGGGCCCGAGATGGGGCCTCGGGGGGCGGTCGGGGCAGCACGTGAGGGGGCGCAGCAGCTGTGCCGCCCTGTGACATAACCGCGTGCAGCCGGTCCTTGGGCAGCGACAGCGACAGGAGGCGGTGAGGTCCGCGCGTGGGCGCGTCCGGCAGGTGTTCACGGCCGGCGGCGGGTGTGAGGCCAGACTGGGCGGACGAGGCGACGCGCTGAGCAGGGGGCCCGAGGGGGAGCAGGACCCGCGTGGGGCGGCGAGGCGGGGGGACGGGACACCGGCCCCTGGAGCGGAGCTGTGCCGGCCGGAGACTGTGCTCCGCGGGCTTCACCGCGAACTGACGCCGGCGGCCGCTTCCACGCCGTGTCCAGGCCGCCGGCCCGGCCCCGTCGCAATCGCTGGAGCAGCAGAGGGCCGGCGGCTGAGCTGGGGGGACGCGAGCAGACTCCGCTGGCAGCGCAGTGACTGCGAGGGGCGGGGACGGTGTCCCCACGGGCCCGGCCTCCGCGACGGTCACTGGTGCATGAGGCGGAACGGCGGGCGGCTGGGTGACGGGCCGTGTCCTGTCCCAGGACGGCTGGTCACTTCACAGACGGCACTTGCGGGTGAGACACCGGCCCCGGGCGTTACGTGTCCCCAGAGCCTGCAGAGTGTGACCAGGCCCTGCTCCTCGGAGTGTCACCAAAATCTGAGGTGCCCAGAGCACCCCAGACCACAGCTGCGCCCCCAGACGTGCGGCAAGGACGAGGCATGGCGTGGGGACACGGGGACAGAGGGACTGGGGACTTGGGGACATAAGCGACCTCCTGATTCCCATGAAGCCTTTTCTGCCCCAGGCCTCCAGGCGCCTAGCCTTCACGTGCCCCGTGTCCCCCGTGTCCCCCCGTGTCCCTCTGCCCAGCGCGGGGAGCGTGAGGAAGGTGCTGGGAAGGGCCCAGGACGTGGCCGCGTGTGGCACCGCGGGGCGCTGAGGACGGGCCTGCGCCCGCCCCGCCCCGCCCCGCAGATGCTTCGGGGTTTGGGGTTTGGGGTTTGGGGTTTGCGCGGCTCCGGCGGCGGGGCTGGGTGTCATTCCACGAGGTTCCAGCAGGTGGCGCCGGAAGCTAAGAAACGCCCGCCGGCCGGCAGGTCCCGGCGCCTCCAGGACCGGCGCTCGGAGCCCGCGGGCCCCGCCTTCCCACTGGCGTCCGTCCTGCCGGGTTGGGAACCACGTGACGAAAGCCACGCTCAGCTCTCTGGGGTCTCTGGTCCTTCTGGGGAGACTGCCCCCCCAGGGGCGCTGCCGCCTCCCCCCCGGGGCCCGGAAGGTTCCAGGGGCCGTTGGAAAGGACGCTGAGGGGGCCGTGGGGACCTGGGAGAACCAAGGAAGGTCTCACGTCCATTGTCCTGAGTCCTAAAAACACTCGTTAGTAATTCTGGAATTCTCCGAATCTCAGCCACCGTGACTGCAGGACCAGAGGGCCTAGAAGTCCCGGCCTTTCCTGAGTCCGGCCCCGAGAACCGGTGCCTCTGCCCAGCCGCCCAGCCCGGTCGGGAGATGCAGGTGCGGACAGCCCGGGGGCGGCACGGTCCTTGTCCTCTAGACCTCGCCCAGGAGGCAGCTGTGCCCTCGCTCCTGTGGCAGAAGCCCAGTGGTTTCAATGTGCACTTGCCTCTCATTAACGGAGGGGCGAACCCCTAAACTCAGCTGCACCAGGAGCCATAGGTTGCTTTGCAGGGTCCCGTCCCTGTCCCCTCTTTCCCCTCTAGGAGCGCTTGGGGATGTCCCGGGGCCAGGAGGGGATCTGAGCCCGGTGACCAGTTCCAGGTGGCTGGCCGCAGGTCCCACGTGCTCAGGAGGCTCCTGCAAGGGCCACGCAGAGACCAGACCAGGCCTGGGGCTTCCGGCCGGACTGCAGGCCCAGGGCGCGGCTCTCCCGGGTGGGCCCCGCGACACAGCGGAGATTCGCCCAAGGTCCTGGAGGCCCCTCCCCGCCCCTCCCCGTCGGGTGCTGTTGGTGGCCTTACGCTCGTGACCACATGGCTCCGAGCTCTGCCTGGTCCTCACGCCGTCGTCCCGTGTGTCTGTATCCAAGTGTCCCTGCGATACGGAGACGCACGTCACTGGATCAGGGTGGCCTCACCATAAGCAATCGCATCTGCAAAGCCCCCACTTCCAAATACTACCCCTTCCCAAGGTTCCAGGTGGACGTGAACCTGGGGGGCACCATTCAGCCTAGCGCAGTGGGGACGCTTGCCAGATACCTAACGTTATTTATTAAGTTATTTAATATCAGCTCAGGTGTTTCCGTTTCTGCCCTACCTGAAAGTACAGACATGTCGCCAGCCAAGCACCAACGTGGTCTAACTTTACAACTGGCAATTGCGTGCCAGGGTCTGAGTTATGTCGTCGCAGCCACCCTGTGCCAGGGAGCCCGGCCCCCGAGGGACAGGCTCTCAGGAAGAGTCGGGAGCCTGGACGTGTGTGGAGTCGCGGGTTTGAAGGTTGGCTCTGGGCTGCTGTGGTGTGAGCGAGCCCAGAGGTTTCCTGGCACAACTGCAGGGGGCACCACCCACACACACGAGCTGCTGCTGTCTGCCTTCGGCTCATGGGTGTCTGGTCCAAGGTCCACTTGGTCCCAGAGTCGTCCTGTCCTGAGTACCCCTTGGCCTTGTGGCCATGACTCCATTCTCTGTAGCCCCTGAGGAGATGGGGCATCGGGGAGCCAGCACGAGGCCAGCTGGGGTTCCTGTGGGGGTCAGTTGGTCATTAAGAAGCAATGATGGGGGGCTGACAACTCAGCCATCACCGTGGCCTCATAGACAGGACAGTGTAGCTCTGGGGGGCTCTTAGCTGCAGCTGGGCCTTTGAGCCTCAGCATGGAGACATAACCTTGACCTCCGGCGGCCTCAGCAGGACTTGTGCCTCATGGGCACCAGGTCCCTGAAAGGACAGAACCAGCCGCAACTACCCACCCCAGAGGGTGCAGTCTCCACCCCCCTGTGGCGTGCCAGCCCCCCAGATCAGGCCAGCTGTTCGGGTCTTGTCCAGAGCCCGCATCCTCTGAAGGGGACGTTTCTGAGGGCCTGCCCAGTGCCAGCTGTGACAGTGCCGCCAACACACTGAGCAGAAGCCACTGTGGGAACAGTACGGCGGGTCCTCAGGAGACAAACCCTGAAGCACCACCCAGTCCAGCCACCCACTCGGCGTCTGTGACCCACAGGGACTGAAAACGGGTCTCAAGAGGTGTCTGCACCCCACGTCGCCCTCAGCAGCATTCACAGCCACCAAGGGCGGGGCACCCAAGTACCGGCCTGTGGTGAACGGACACAAAGCCCCCAAAGGGAGGGACCCTGACACCCGCTACACCGTAGATGGCCCTTGAGGACATGGTGCTCAGTGAGATCAGCCGGTCACAACAGGACACTGTGTAGCTCCACTAACATGCGGTCCCCAGGAGACAAATCCACAGAGACAGGAAGTAGACGGTGGTGCCCGGGGCTGGCGGAGGGATGAAGGTGGGTGTTTCATGGACAGAGTTCAGTTTGGGGAGACGAGAAAGTTCTGTGGGTGGACGGTGGTGACGGCTACACAGCCCTGTGAATGTGCCTAATGCCACTGACAGCTGGCACTTACAAATCGCTACGATGGTACATTTTTGTGAAGTGTACTGTACCTCAATTTTTAGGTAAAATTGCACCATAAGGGACTGTCACTCTCTGGGAAGCCGAGGCCCAGGTGGAGGGGAGCCGGTCCAGAGCCCACCGCCGACCTGTTTCTCAGAAGAAAAAAGGCTTCAGCCAGCTCATAAAAGGCAGCC